AGGTCACCCCCTCGCCACCGTCCGTACCTGAGCTCGCGTCCATGGCTCCAGGTCGGGGGGGTGGGGGCTGGGGGCGGGGGGTGGGGGGGGAGATGTGGGGGGCATCAGGGGGTGTACAAAAAGGGGGTGGGGGCTAGGGGAGGTTGGTAATGGGGGGGGGGCGAGGGTGGGGGCTGATCCATGGTGGTGTTTCCGCGCTTGCCCCCCCCCCCCTCTCTCCCCGACGCTCTTGACCCCATAGCCCCCCCTCCCTCCCAAACTCTTAATTTATGATCCGTCGCGCACCTGTGCTGGGCACACGATGCGAGTCATTTACAGCCAGAGATGTCACGCACGCACGGTACACACGCACACACACACGGCGCGTACACGCACACGGCGCACACACACACGGCGTACACGCACACACACGGCGCACACGCACACACACACACGGTACACACGGCGCACACACACCCACACACGGTACACACGGCGCACACACACACACACACGGTACACACACGAGATCATAGATACAAAGCAAGTGCTATTTGCGCGTTCATCTAACTTAGAGGCCACTAAAGAAACTCAACGCGTGTTCGTTTACCACCCATGTGTGCCATCTTGTTTATGGGCATGTCGAAAGCGTGAGTGGTGTAATTTAACGCAGAACTTTTTTCGTTTTAAATCGTTACCTGGTCATATAAAGCCCCAAAAGGCTCATGTCAACACGTGTGTGTGAGTGTGTGCAGTTGGATGCAGAGGCGCGGCGATCACAACAACGAGCAGAGCGCCGGGCGGCTGAAATGCAGCAAGTTGGCACAGAAGGGGGCACAGGTGGTGCGTCTGCCAGTCATCTCGGTCAGCCAGCCCATGGCACCTGCAGGGTCTGTCCCGTGACCTCATGCCAGCGAGCCTTCGACACCTCACGTGGCCTCAACGTGCACCTGGCCTGGCACAGGTCCCGTGGTGACGTCAACGTCACTTTGTGGCATTGGTATTGGTGTGTATGTGCCATGCGTACCGTAGGTGTGCATTTATACCTACAATGGTTCCACGTGATGTCCACCACCGTCGGTGGAAAGCTTGCGTGTGTCGGACAATGTCTTCATTATCGTTTGGGATTTTCCACGTGGACCACGCATCGACTGCGTTGGCGATGCGTTGTGTGCCACACTTTCACCTGTTGCATCCGAACACGGTTACGCGGGGACACACCATTCGTACGCTGCTGCAATGATTGTGACCAATTATCGAGGAAGTAGCCACCGCCGCTGTTATGGGGGCTCCCGTGCGGGTGCAGGGGACGCAGTCGTGACTGCTGTGCACATCGCTGGCGCCAATGGTCGGCCGTATCCCCTTGACGACATCATCACCACCACCACCAGGTGGACCAAGCACTCGCCACCAAGCGTTCCCAAACCCCCCCCCCCCCCCCCGTCCTCGTGCACCACAAGTGTCCGCCCTTCCTACTGAACCAATCATTCCCGTAAGTGGGAATGCAGGAGGTCGTGGGTTCGAACCCGACCCTGACGCCTGCTGCTGTATGTTTGGAGTTTGTGTGTCTCTCTATACCGTGGTCGCGTGGATTTTTTTCTCCGGGTCCTCCGGGTTTCCCCTCCACATTTAGAATCAACATCACGCGTTTAGAGCATTTGGCTGATATAAATGTACACGTGATAGCCACTTCGCTGAGCTACCATCTGTGATAGTCAGGTCTCTTCTGAAGAAGAGCTACATAGCTCAGTGGACCTTACCTGGTGGGCCTTACCTCAAACACATTCAGGACTATCACGTGAAATTATTCTTATCGCTGTTTAGGGAACGCTCAGAATTCACGCAGACTGTCCATGGACAGCGCCTGACATTAATGGGACTTACTCTTTAGTTCTTTCGGTAAAGTCACGTAGTTAGAAATAAAATAAATCACGACGTTTCGATCGCAACACAAGCGATCGTCATCAGGCGGTCGTCATCAGACTGATGACGGACGCTTGTGTTGCGATCGAAACGTCGTGATTTGTTTTTTTTTATTTTCTACCAACGTGACTTTACCCAAAGAACCAAAGAGTATGGATTCCTGCAGTCACGAAAGCTTCAAATCAAGATTAATGGGACTGTCCGAATATTGGAGAATGCGGGCAGCAGCTAATTCAGATTGCTTGCAAACTCAACAAATCCGCCTGAAATGTTGTGAGATGTTCAAGGAAATGTTTGAAGGGTGTACACGCTGATTATTGTGGTGATAAACACTGCCAATGTGACCATTCCGTAAATATGATGGTGGCACCGGTGTAACTTAAAACGATATAAAACGAATCGCCAGTCGCAGGGGGTGTCAGTTTGGGGGACGCTATTTTGCCTTCACCAAAACCCCAACGGAACGCGTGCACATAGATCCAGGAAGCAAGACAGGCGAGCGGTGTGTCCTGGACGCTGCTCATGCTCAGGGACTGAATGGTTGTTGTTGTTGTTTGACTTGCATCCCACTGGGATTTTTGCACACAGCGTTGGTGTATTGTGTTTTTTCTGCAATATTTTGCTGTCTTTTCTTGGATTTTCTGTTTGCACTTAGTCACATATTCACTTTAAGATGTTTTTTGTTCATGTTTTTGTTTTTTGTTTGTTGCGGTTGCACCCGATTCAAGAGCCGAATGGCTCACAGGGCGATACCTAATAAATGAACTTGAACTTGAAGCGGTGGTGGGGGATCAGTGGGAGCGGGGGAGAGCTGGAAACGACTGGTCGTACGCTCGATGTCAACGAAGATGCGAATCGATGCGGAACACCTGGGCCATGTGAATGGGACGAGCTCAATGAGCCAAGTCGGAGAGGCGCGGAGTCCCCTCTTAGTGAATCAATGATCATTATCGTCATCTAGATTTGAAGCTTTCGTGACTGCAATGATTCATACTCGTAGTTCTTTCGGTAAAGTCACGTAGGTAAAAAATGAAATTAAAATTAACAAAAATAAAACAATAAAATCACGACGTTTCGGAGGCAACACAAGTCTCCGTCATCAGGTGGGACCGTCATCAGGTGGGATGCAGCAAATCTGGCTGTGACGGTCCCACCTGATGACGGAGACTTGTGTTGCCTCCGAAACGTCGTGATTTTATTTTTTATTTTTATTAATTTTAATTACATTTTTTACCTACGTGACTTTACCGAAAGAACTAATAGTATTATCGTCATCGTCGTGCGTGTGGCGAGCGGCAGGGAGAGGGTTTTGGTGTTGAGCCGGAGCCAAGAGCCAGCAGTGGAAAATTCCACGTTCCTATGAGGAGGATCAGTCCATCGAATCAGGAAAACTACCTGTGATCAGGCCAATTGGTGCTGCCCCAGTAGACGGTATTCGATGAATTGTAGCCGGTAAAAAATAGTTGTATATTACAGTACGTATAGTACTTATAAATTCACGTCCAGAGGGTCGCGAAAGTGCACGTGTTCCACGCGGCTGCAAGAAAATGTCACCATCAGCGGCCATGAACAATCCACTGCTGGACGGAGATCCTCCACACGAGGTCGCCATTCATCATTGCCCCAAAACGCAATGACGTAATATGAAAAGCAGCCCGACTGATGATGACGAGGAGGACGATTAGTCGATGGTGCTGCTGCTGATGGTGCCGATGGTGACGACGACGGGGAGAGAAATGATATTGGGGACAGGCGGATATGGGGAGACAAATGTACGGAGACACAAGATGCGGACACGAATAGACAGGTGGCTAGGATTCATACTCTTAGTTCTTTCGGTAAAGTCACGTAGGTAAAAATGAAATTAAAATTATAAAAAATAAAACAATAAAAATCACGACGTTTCGGAGGCAACACAAGTCTCCGTCATCAGGTGGGACTTGTGTTGCCTCCGAAACGTCGTGATTTTTATTGTTTTATTTGTATTAATTTGAATTTAAATTTTTACCTACGTGACTTTACCGGAAGAACTAAGAGTATGAATCCTTGCAGTCACGAAAGTTTCAAATCTAGAATTAGGTGGCTAGGAGATGTGTAACTACCTCGCCTGGTATATAGGAGGTCGTGGGTGCGATCCCGACCCTGACGCCTGCTGCTGTATATTTGGAGTTTGCGATGTCTCTCTCTCTCCCCGTGGTCGCGTGGATTTTTCTCCGGGTCCTCCGGGTTTCCCCTCCACGTTTAGAAAAACGCGTTTAGAGTTATTGGCAACTGCTGTACATTTCCACGTGATGAGAAGCCACTTCGTTGAGCTATCATTTGTGATAGCCAGGTGGCTTCTGAAGAAGCGCTATACAGTATAGCTCAGTGGGCCTTACCTGGTAAGGGGCCGTCCATAAATGACGTCACGCGATTTTGGACATTTTTTGACCCCCCCTCCCCTCGTCACACGGCGTCACAAAAAGTCAGACCCCCCCCCTCAAATATGACGTCAAAAAGCTCTGCCCCCCCCCCCCCCCCCAAAATAAAACATGCTTAAAATCGCTTTAAACCATTGTCATTGTAGCGCGTATTTAATGCGCCGCTGCACTCTGATGCTGTAGGAGAAAACATTTATTTAAAAAAAGTCTATTTAATTAAGTAGAACGTGTTGTCTATATTTATTTTAAGTTGCGCATTTTGATGTGACGTCACATTTCTCAACCCCCCCCCCCCCCCTCGTCACACATCGTCACAAATGTCTGACCCCCCCCACCCCCCTAGGTGCGTGACGTCATTTATGGACGGCCCCTAATATAGTGAATAGTTTATGGTTAGGTACATGGGGAGTCGAGAAAATGGGGATGCGAAAGGTAGAGTGTGTACAGTAATAAGTACGCAGGGGTTCGACGTTTAAAGGACAACTCAAGGACAACTTTAAAGTTGTGTGTGCCACCGGTCACCGATGCATGTGTATCGAGACGACAGCGATGGACGGGCGTTGGGCATGGCGCCGGTTCCATCACGCACATTGACGACTCTCGGATTTCTATCGATCCTGTGATGCCAATCGTCATCGAAAGTTGTACTTCACCAGGAGACGGCAAAACACGCCGAGACAACACGAAGCATGGTCTTGTTCGCAAAGAGTGTCCCGGGTTACATCGCACGGATATTGATTTCAAAAATCATACAGGCAAAACAGGGCATCGATAACATATCTGATCAACAACAACAACCACGGAAACTCGAGATTGAGGTGAAATTGTACGTTAACAGGACTCCGAAAGTGATATTCGCAAATTGTTACAAACGCACAGCAATCATATAAACGACGCATCCCCCGTGAGTCTCGTTGACACACCTCCAAGATTAGCACGGCCAAACAACGACACGGAAATAAACCACAGCGCTGAACGATAGTGCACAGTCGATTTGATGATACCATTAATTCTAGATTTGAAGCTTTCGTGACTGCAAGGATTCATATTCTTAGGTTTTTTCGGTAAAGTCACGTAGGTAAAAAAATTGAAATTAAATTAATAAAAGTAAAATAAAATAAAAAATCACGACGTTTCGGAGGCAACACAAGCCTCCGTCTTCAGGTGGAACCGTCACAGCCACGACAGCTGTATCAAGTAAATGAGAGATTACAAGAGCTACCACTCCGTATATATAATACCATTACTGTGCTCTGTTTAAACTCTCGTGTTTTCATTGTATCTGAACCAGGTAATACCTTGCACGATATTCCTGTATGACAGGTTCCCGCTTGGATTTAAATTTCGTTTTGGTGCTGGTGGTGTGTGGAGCGGTGGCGCAAGTGTTAGGGGCCGTCCATAAATGACGTCACGCACCTAGGGGGGGGGGGGTCAGACATTCGTGACGATGTGTGACGAGGGGGCGGGGGTTTGAGAAATGTGACGTCACATCAAAATGCGCAACTTTAAATATAGACAACACGTTCTACTTAATTAAATAGACTTTTTAATAAATGTTTTCTCCAACAACATCAGATTGCAGCGCCACATTAAATACGCACTACAATGACAATAGTTTAAAGCGATTTGAAGCATGTTTGATTTTTTTTTGGGGGGGGGGGTGGGGCAGAGCTTTGTGACGTCATATTTGAGGGGGGGTCTGACTTTTTGTGATGCCGTATGACGAAGGGGGGGGGGGTCAAAAAACCGTCCAAAATCGCGTGACGTCATTTATGGACGGCCCCTTAAGGGCGCCACGCTACATACCTGGCGACCAGAGTTCAATTCCTGCTCACGGCCAACACCACTGAACCAGTCAATGAAAAAATGTATGCAACTACATCGGCCATGGGAAAGAAAGAAGTACGGACTGATGAAGGGGAAGGGGGGTGCAGGACCAGTTGAAATCTCATGCTCCACTGAGTTTAGCTGTGGCCAGAAACTAAACTTAAGTTAAATTTCGATTAAAATTTCATTGGGACACTGTCTTTCCGACAGCCCTGTTCTTCACCTGAGGACGGCTGCTTGCGTTGTGGCCGAAACGTCGTGAGAATTTTATTTAATGTTTTATTTTCATTATTTTATTATTTCCCTTCTACGTGACTTTACCGAAAGAACCAAGATGATAAACTTAAGTTTATTTGTTGAGCTTTCATTTGTGGCCAGGTCTCGCTTCTGAAAAACGAGTTAATACCTCAGTGGGCTTTGCCTGGTGGAATGGGGATGGTTTATTTTAATTTGTATGTCTTTGGGTGATTTGATTACCTTACTTGTACTTTGCACTCCGATCGTGCTTTTGTACCGCTTGCTGTTGTAACGCGCTTACCCCGTGCCCCGACTGGACATCTGTCAAAAAGAGCTTAATAGCTCATCGGATTCCTCCAGTACGAATACAAATTCTTATTCTGAAGTCGCTGGGTTCATAGCTCAGTGCGCTAACAATTGTGTCACCCAAATGTGATTATTAGATCTCACAAAAAAATGTGGAAGAAATCAATAACCGGCAATCGACGATCATTCGTTGCAAAGACACCGAGGTGCGCACTCATTGCCAGGGTCAACGCAGGGTGAATGACTATGTATGACGGTCACAGTTGCAAACCGCGCAGCAGACAACACGCACCAGTGCATTTAAAATTAAATGGGCATTTTTAAAAGTGCCCGCGACGACCCTTGGGGGCTGCTATCCCCGGTACACGTGGAGTTTTCACCGTTTCCATTTTCTCTCTCTCTCTCTCGCAAAAAACACAAGACAGGGCGTTGGGGAAAAACGTTGCACACAAGATCCTCTTGTAAATAATGGCCTCGATGTATCACACTCGTGGAGAGATGATGGAAATAAACTTACGTTGTGATCTTGATTTGAAGCTTTCGTGAATGCAGGAATCCATACTCACGTTTTAAACTATCCTCCATGTATCGAGAAAGCCTCACTGAATCCAATAATATTTTGCCGGCAACATCCCTTTGATAGATCCGAATTGATATGAATACACCTTTAGCTTCTGGAGAAAACCCACCGTGCATACGAGGGCATAACACAAGTCAGCAAAGACGAATCGGGAAGCCACTTTATCTCCTGCTATTGCCGAGCCATCTTGTATCCCTCTGTGTGTATTGGGGAGCCTTTCAAACACACGACGATGATCATCTCAAAGGCTTAGGACACATCCAAATGGACGTTGCGAAAGCTGAAATAGCCACTATCCTCAAGAATGTTAAGAACCTCACCTTTTAACTACCTTTCCTGGTATACAGGAGGTTGTGGGTTCGTCCCTGACCCTGACGCCTGCAGCATATTTGGTGTTTGCGCGTTCTCTCTGTGGTTGCATGGATTTTTCTCCGAGTCCTCCGGTTGTTCCCTCCGCATTCACAAACGTGCGTTTAAAGTATTTGGCTGCTGTACATTTCCACGCGATAAGCCACTTCGTTGAGCTATCATTTGTGTCCAGGCTGCGTCTGAGAAAGAACTACAAAGCTCAGTGGGCCTTACCTGGTAAAATAAAAAGTTGACTTTTTTGTTTAATAGTTGAGAATGAACATGTGATGGGCGTTATTTGCATTTATTATTTCCCTTCTACGTGGTGACTTTACCGAAAGAACCAAGAAGAGAAAAAAATGTCACTCGGATCAGACGAGAGAGACAGCGTGGGTTTTGAAGAGACACTGTCGGTAAAATCCTCCAACTGAATTTACAAGTGAAAGGGGGAGAATGTGATGACGCGGAAGGCTAGAGACATGACGCTGTCTCATACAGCTGAGTCAATACTAACAGATTTCAGTCCCTTACACACAAGAATCACGAGGAATTGTATAATCCATAATCAACAAACACAAGATTGGTAACCATCAGCTGCATTTGGCCAGTATCGCCCAGAAACAATTCGTTGATTGTGGAAATAAGTTAAAAGGACTGGCGGTCTCAGATTCTCAAAATGGAATATAACTCACAAGTTCAGATGTACAGATAACCAGATAAGAGGCCTATACTAATTATCATGATGGCTAAAGACTAGTTTCTGCCAAAATTTAGGGGGACAATGGCTAAATGCTAATTTGGCAGAAACCTGCCGGCACTTGAATTAGGTCCCAGTTTCTGCACAATGGTACAAAGGTAAAAGACATTTGAAAAGTAATTTGCTCAAGTATGTCTCACTTGAAGTGGATACAATGCTCCTGCAGGTTTTCAGTTTGATCTGCCCTCTTTATCTCTCCAAAGGTCTTCCACTTTGCATTCAACGAAATTCTCAGCGATGAAAAGGAATGGCTCCATGCGGTTCTAAAGCCAGCCATTATGAATCACGAGGGTCACCGTGAAACCCGGCATCCTTGTTAATGTTTCTCTGAAGTGTAAATAACAGCGGGTGCTAGGTCGAGTTCTGTGCTTTGCCTATTGAGTGGATGTTGAGTTTTGTGTTTGAAAGGTGTAAAATTGCAGCGGGAATGGTTGCGATAAATGTGTCCACACCAGCACAATGCAACACCAGGCACCGTCCCCGTGCCAGATGAACGTAGACATGACCGTGAGGGTTACTTGGCGGTGGCTGGGGGCCCCGGCGGACGAGTCAGGAGGGCGCATGACTCTTCCTGTGTACCCAAGAACATCCCTGAGCCTGTGGTACAGAAAATTTACTTCAGGGAAATATTACTTAACCCTCTTCTTGGTTCTTTCAGTAAAGTCACGTAGAAGGGAAATAATAAAGTAATAAAAATAAACATAATAAAATACAATTCTCACGAATTGTATTTATTTCCCTTCTACGTGACTTTACCGAAAGAACCAAGAAGATGAATCCCTGCAGTCACGAAAGCTTTAAATCTAAATTTACTTAACCCTGCCATATATGATGATCCACGCTCTTAATTCAAACTTTACGAAAAGACACAGTTCTAGATCCACGTGTGTATGTATGTTGAACTTCTTTTGCACCGTACTTAGCCAACCGTGCTAATCGGAGGTGCGGGGGATGATCAACAAACCGAACACAAAAAGCCGTTCTAAAGAAATTAGTTTTCAATCTATATTTTTTTTAAAGTGAGTTTTGAGTTCATGCTGGGGTGGCCCGTGTGCGAGCACTGTCGTACCCCACAGTGAATCACGCGAACCAGCAGGGGTCCCTTTCCACCCTCCGCCACCCCCACTCGGCGAGGAAACTTGCTGGCTGACGTGAGGCTGCAAAGACAAAGATCCCTCGTGTAGCCAGTTTAACATATAAGATTGTTGGTTATGATCGCAAGTTGCGATATACCCAGCCCATGACGTCGCAGGTGAGACATTTCGATAACAGCAAGGAAATTGTAGTCATTGTCCATTTGATATTCTGTACATTTGGAACCCGAATTTTCGTTCGTTATTCAGTTTTGGCTCGGTCACAGTGACGTCCTATACTGGGCACCTGCCGGTCTTGTCGCGGTCTGTCGTGGAGCCCATGAGCACCGCAATGACCCCACGTGTGCCAGGGTCACCGATTGGCAGTGCTGTAAACGTGCCCCCCCTTGGCGGCCCGTGCCGATAACGAGATTCAAAGGACAACGCGGTCCCGACTGCTGCAGGAAACCATGGAGGGCTCGGCGGTCAGGCAGTAAGAGCCACTGTTATAAAATATCTGTGGGCTGAGGGGCTGGGTGCTGTGGTTGAGATTACGGTGGTGATTAGTGTCTTTGTTAGGGTGCATGCCCGTTTTAGGATTACAGGTTTGAGCGAGGGTTACGATATGGCGAGCATTAGGTTTACAGTAAAGGTTTGATACGGGGCTAGGACCAAAGTTAAGTTGACGCGAGGGTTTAAAATAATAATTATTCAACCTCTTTGCTCTGTCACCATCGTAACTCACACTGCCTCTAAGTGTACAGGATGTTGAGGTGATATTCTATTCTTTACAAATTCCCATCTGGTATTACATTGCTCCAAGAGGGATTTTGGTTGGAGTTGTGAATCTGGACCACCTCTCACGTCGCCAACCACCACTATCACTGTTGTGTGCACACTGCCCCCCCCCCGCCCCGTCCCCTTCCACATCCTCCACCACCACCCAAACCAGCCCAATCCCCGTGTCTTGGGGGAGCGGTGGGGCCTAAACAGAAAGAGGCGGGGCCTAAAGAGGAAGGGGTGGGGTCTAAAAAGGAAAGGCACAGAGCGAAAGGAAAGGCACAGGGAAAAGACATTGGGGCCGAACAAGGAAGCGACGGGGCCTAAATAGAAGAGGTGGGGACCTACAGAGGTCGAACTTTTTTGTTGATTTAAGGCAATAGGAGCACAGACTCAATTATGTACAGCAGGCAGCATACCTTTAGTGCTGCAGAAGCCCAACTGTCCAACTCGTCGTTTTTTCCGGTTGTGCCTAGGAAGAGGGCTAAGGCTAGAGGAATTGCGAGTATGGGTATCAATTAAAATAAATGTGCCAGCCATGCTCAGAGCTATGGTTTTTGTTAAGTTGACATCCAGTATATGGGATAAGCTGGTGCCTTTACTTTTGCTTGTTCACGACGGAAGGCAAAGGTTACAGTTCAAAGTTTAGGCCAGAGGTCGAGTGTGATGCTGTCCCTGCCATTTGACCCCTGGGTCTTACCATGTAGCCAACGGCGGCATGGTGCAGGATGGCCGCCTGCCGCTGAAGCGAGGTCCTCAGAAACATCTCGTCCTTAACGGCATGCAGACTGTGCGCCAACACAACCCACAGCGTGGAAACACACGAGGCACGCAGTCATCGCTCACTGCTGAGGCACGTCATGAGGAGTTGAATAGATGTTATATACCCTGTGACAGCATTTAACAGAAGGGCCTCTAGTGTGGCAGTGTGACAGTAAAAATCCCAGTTATGATTACCATTATATTACAATAATTACATCACTGGGGTGGTGGGGTGGGGTGGCAACGCAGTTGTTCAATGCACTTGCACTGTGAATCCAGCGACTTGAGCGATTAGCACAGTCGGCTACGCACGGCGCGAAATACGTTCAACATAGATATACTAATACTTCACTGATATCTTAACATAATTTGGGCACCCCTTCACCAACCTGCCCTGGCCCGTGTGGTGAAATATGGTCAAACCACTCCCACAATGGATACGGCATAGAAAGACCATCCTTCATCCAGCTGTAGACTTAAAAGATGCTGTATATCATCACCGATGAATTGAGGACACCAAGCTCCTCCAAAAGAAAAACCTGCCGAATTGAATTTCGATGACAATTTCTACATTTTCTAAATTACATGCGAACTGGGAGACTTTTCAAGGCACCAGCCGTCCGTGCTAAGGTCCGACAGCGCGCAGAGGCTGGAGAGGGCCTGGCACTCCTCGGTGATGCCACAGCTGCTGGCGCTCACCTCTGCTGCAGCACGGCAACCTTCTGCTCCCACATCTTGTTTGTCCTCTCCAGCTGCTTTCGGAGGCTGTTGAGACAAGCGCAGACGGTGAAACAAACCCACCGTCGCCGCTTGCCCCTCCCAAAGAGATGAAACCGCTGCAAATATTTCCCGGCCCATTTAGATCACGAAAGACGAAAGACGCACTCATGCGCTGCGTTAAAGAGGCCGCATGCGGCGCTTGTGCGATCTGCCAGGCGTGTGTTTAATGTGGGCGAGTACTGGCGAGTGTGGGTGTGCGTGCAGTGGAGTACCGATTATCAGCGACGGTTATCTCAACCGGTTCTGGGCCTCCCCTAGGTTTACTCAGCCTCAAATGAGTACCTGGTGCAGTGCGTAAAAACATTGGTACTGGGAAGACAGAGGTGGCCGGGCATGGTTGTTGGCCACCCACCCCCTCGTGTGCCGTGTCGGCCTTCATAGGTGCTCGCTAACATCACTTGCCTCAACAGTTTGTTACGGCTATACGGGGGTTCTTTGTCTTTGCAGTGGAGTAAACGGAGAATAGCAATTCACTACCATGACTTATCTCAATAGTCTAAATATATTTAGACATTCTTCGATCCATGTATAAGCGCTGACCCAGTGACATCACTATAGGGCGACGACAGTGTGACTGAAAACGAGTTTACAGTTTGATCTTGTTACGAATAAAGCGTCAAACAAATGTCAGGCAGTCTAGGACATACCGCCTAAGTGTGTATCTGCAAGATAAGAGATATTTATTTTGGGTTGCATCTTATTGTGAGCATGCATTGCTGCACTTTAGAAAGGGATGCAATGACCACTACAAACCCCCCCGTGCAGTAGTGTAGCCACGGAGTGTGCCGGCGGTGCAACTGCAATGGGTCCCGCAGGCCAGACTAGAAAGTGGACAGAAGGCCCCTTTTATTCCTTGCCCCAGGGCCCGTGCCAACCCCGCTGCGCTGCTTCCCGTGACCCATCGCCATCGGCACTTGCACAGGCCGACGGGCAGCGCCGAGACAAGCTGACAGGGAGGTCTCAAACACACTCAGGGCTCGAGACTCCCGCACCGTGTGATCTGGGCCCTCTGGTCTTCCGTCTCCGCTCCTCCTTCCCAGCTTCTTGGAGACTCTCGTTTGTTTTTAGCAGAGGCCCTGGCCTGCAGGCGAATGGAAAAATCACGCACCCAAGGGGCAGACAGACACCGAGCTCAAAAAACGACACCGAGCTCAAAAAACGACACCAGGCAACAGTTCTGTGATGGGAAATGTCCTTGGCAAGGGAAGGTGTTCTGTGTATCGCAGAAAAAGTCCCACCTCCAGGTTAACTCCTGAAAAGGGATGATCTCATTGCCATTGTTAAAAAAAAGAGGTTGGGAGGTCTATCGAGACCAGAAGTTTCTTTCTCAAGGGAGACTTTGGAAATAACCCAATTTTTTTAAAACAGGTTCCTAAGTTCAAACAGAATTTAAACTAATTCCAGGTTTAGGAATATTACTTAACGAGTTTTGTTGAAAGATGAACAACATCAAATATATGAAAGAGCACGGTCTTGTGGACTCCTCTTCACGGAGCTGAGCACGGCTGCAACACAGGCTCCTCTGTTTCTCTGGTTTATGCTCGCCCTGAAATTTCTAATCAGCCACGATTGGCAAATTGTTGCTGGGGTTTATTGCATGCGACGTCACGACAAAGTCTCAGAATAACTCAATCAATATCGCACCGACTGTGCCATCTCCCACAGACGAGTGCACACGACCCTATTTGTGGTGGTGTGTGGTTTCGTGTACAAAACGTGCGGTTGTCAACCCGGGTACTAATGTTGATGAGGGCACAGGTCGTTTTGCGGAGCTGTAAACACTGGCTTTCATAATAAAGTTTTTTTTGGGTTAGATCGCATGAATATAAATGTGTCGTTAACCCACCACCACCCGACACAGGGAATTAGTAAGGTTTATCACGTTAAACAGAACGTGCCAATTAATTATGTCTTCAGCACACCGATGTGTAGGAGAGTAAACCGACAATATTTACAATGTAATAACTGAGGCACCTACTTGCTTATACAAATTAATTATCAAAACACGGATGAAGATCCAGCAGTGAATGGATCAGAGCTGATAATGATGATGCACATAATATTAATATGATACCTTTGGACCAATGTTTCTCGTATTCCAGACCTCATGTCCCCACACGGTAAAACTTTCTGAAATTACCAATCGTATCCATCCATATGCAAAATAATATGCTACGTTGCACAAACCCGATGGTTGATAATCACGGATTTTCTGCTCCGTAAGACAAATTTAAGCTGAATGGAATAAACAGGACGGAACAAACAAGGCAGACAACATGAACGAGACAGTACAAATGAGACAAATAATAACTCATTCTTGAATGAAATTGTGACCATGATTCCTGACAATCCAATTGCAGGGAGAGAAAGGTGAATTGTTCACACAGGGCTTAATTTTCAACTGAACATTTTCCAGGGCACTGGCAGACTAGAGTAGGTACGTGCATAGAAGCCACAGCCACAGGCGAGAGGTGTATTGGATGTGGCATGCCAGGTGTGGAATTCTTTTCCGAGCCGTTGATCCTTAAAGTCCCGGCTAAATACAACCCTGGTTCAATGCCGAGTGATTGCAGTCCGAGGCCCTGTGGCTGAAGGCAGACGGGGCCGCAAAATATACGCTCCAAGCGTGGTGGTGTTTCATTCAGACGCTGTCTCCCCGACAGACCTGGTCTTCACCTGAGGACGGCTGTTTGCGTTGTGGCCGAAACGTCGTGAGAATTATTTTATTATGTTTTATTTTTATTATTTTATTACTTCCCTTCTACGTGACTTTACCGAAAGAACCAAGAAGAAGGAGAGTCGTTCATTCTTAGCTGCAGTCCCCATCGTCAATCACGCAGACGGGGGGGGGGGAGGTTGAGGGGGTGGGGTGGTGCCTACCGCGGCGCTGGCGCGCGCCGTCTCGACAGCCCGGTGAGCGTCTTTGAGGGACAGGGATTCTCGCTCCGCCTCCATCTTCTTCGACTCCATCGCCTCCTTTTCCGCCGCCTCTCGCTTGGCCAGTGTCTCGGCCTCCGCTGTCCTCTGCTTCTCGGCCCGCAGCTGGAGACGTCACGTCGGGAAAAACCCACCCACAGCTGTGAGCGGTGCAGTCTGGCAGATCCTGGTACTCTGAAACTATTTTTATTTGACCAGATAAGGTCCTCTGAGCTATATAGTAGCTCGTTTTCAGAAGTGACCTGACCAAATTATAGATCAACGAAATGGATTATACTCTTTGGTTCTTTCGGTAATGGCTTATGATAATAGGGTTTTCCCCTTTTTCTGGCAAAAAAACCGGTGTTAAGATGTTAAAACACCAAACTGAAACTTTTTACAAGGAATCATGTCTGCATTAACCACAATGCTTGTGGTCAAAATGCAAAAAAAAACATACGCTGATAATATATGCATTGTCCTTGAAACAGAGGACGTCCTCTGGTCTAACACAGTTTGAGACGAGGCTCAAAAGAAAGCTGTCTCTGGTGTAGACCAATCAGTTTCGAGGACAATGCAAATATTATCAGAGTATGTTTTTTTTGCATTCTGATCACAATCATTGTGGTTAATGCAGACATGATTCCTTGTAAGAGGTTTCAGTTTGGTGTTTTAACATCTTAACACCTGTTTTGTTGCCAGAAAAAAGGGGAAAAACCTATGATCCTATTTTGGTACTGGCAAAGGAAGTCTCATGATGAAATGGCTGACCTTGTAGAAATTTGCAGCAGCCACATTACTCTAAATGCACGTTTCTAAATGTGGAGGGAAAAACCAGAGGACCCGGAGAAAAATCCATGTGACCACGTGGAGAGAGACATGCAAACTCCAAATATACAGCAGGCGTCAGGATTGGGATCAAACCCACAACCTCTTTCATACCACGCAGGGGACTTAATGTCTCTCCTCCGTTGGCGCCTCTAAAATAGAACCTCAAATTCTATCAGGCACATGCCTGTAGTTTGTTTCTCAGTGGGATGCTTGTCTCTCTTCTATCATAGGGGTTTCCAAAAAGGAAACCGCACCTACAGATGTCGATAGCTCTACTGGGATGTAATTCATTAAAAAAAGAAAGTGGATAAAAACTCAGCAACTCAATGTACATGAACCCATTATTGATGGTTGTAAACACTGTGGGTAATTCTATCATTATGATTATATAATTATATAAATTAAGCCCTCAATTCGTCTCTCTCAATAACACAATCTATTTTACAAACAAATATCATCTGGCAGCCTCTGTTTAAACAAGCAGCAAGTGCCTCACACACTCTTGCAACAAAATTATATTTGAGGGGCAATTTGTGGACCGGATGGGGACCTGTTCATTAATAAAAAAGTCACACAAAAGTCACTTCTAAATATTTACACAGTGCTCAGCAATGCTCGCATTTTTATATTTGGGCTGTGTATATTTATTTTAATTGGAACCTGTGGCTCACGGGGGGGGGAGTATCAACGCGGGTAACGAAGTGGCTCATTGTGTCCAGGCATACATATCCACACTATCAATGTATATGGCACCCGCGGAGGAAGTTTGTACGATTTGAAAACAAATAACAGATTGAAAAAAAAAACCCCAGCTTCATAAAGCGAGGCCTGTGCGCGTATTTTTTCGCGCTGCCGACTGCCGGAATGGTCTTCCTCCGGCAATATAAGTTGTACATTAACTCTCAGACCGCACGCGCGCGCGTATCGGCTCACGTTGAAGGGACCCTGAGGCCAAACCACAGCCGTGACCCCCCCACGCCACCCCGCTGTTGTTGCCTGCTGGTGGAGCACGGAAGACAGCCCAATAAAGTGCGTCGGTTTTAGGGGCCATCCATTTAGTACGTACGCATGGAGGGGGGAGCGGGCGGGGGGGGTCTACTGACAATGTACTTACGCATAGGAAACGAGGGGGGGGGGGTGAAGCCTCGATAATAATTTAATTTGTCTATATTGGTCTTCAAATTAGTCCGGCGGTTGGACTATCTGTTTGCTTAAACACGTTAATATTAATTCTAGATTTGAAGCTTTCGTGACTGCAAGAATTCATATTCTTAGGTTTTTTTCGGTAAAGTTACGTAGGTAAAAAAATTAAATTAATAAAAGTAAAATAAAAATAAAATACAAATCACGACGTTTCGGAGGCAACACAAGCTTCCGTCTTCAGGAGGAACTGTCACAGCACGATAGCTGTACTTTTATTAATTTAAATTTTTTACCTACGTGACTTTACCGAAAAAAACAAAAAATACGTTATTATTCATCCTTGATCGTTTCTGCGTGGATTAAATATCGGCCGTTCTATAGGATTCAGGAGGGGGGGTGTAAAAAGTTCGCGTGCGTACAGGGAGGGGGGGGGTCAAGTTTAAACAGATTTTTGCGTTACCTACTAAATGGATGGCCCCTTATCTAAACGCTCTCCAATTCAACGCGGGAACGCGATAACTCTCGTAAAAGTGGTCCAACACGAATTACATTTTCAATGTAAAGGAGCGTTGCTGTTCAGGACTTGCCCTGCAGAACAAAAAACGATTGTTTTGGCGATGCTGCACTGCTATTGGTGTGCAAGCGCAGATGACAAAAAGTCAACAAACTCGTCAACAACACTGCCTTAAAAGACAAAGGTATGCAATTGGTAACGTTTCGGGTAATGGCCTTTCTTAATAGCACATAAACATAGAGGATATAGAGAGAGACAGAGTTAATAGGGGTACTGAGACTGCACTCAACACCACAGGGCCTGATGAGAATTAAATGTTTAAAATGTTTTCTGATTACCAGTTTTCAAATATGCATATGAATAGTTACCTATAGAAATAGTTACCTATAGAAAACCGGACACATATATGGAAGGGTTTGCTAAAACTCGGTGATAAAAATCCAGTGCTAATCAAAAATAATTTCTGGCTGTGTCGGGTGGTGGCGGTTTTAATTACACATTTATATTTACGCAATCTAACCCCAAAAAAAACTCTATTATGGACGATGACATATTGGAAAGCAGATGCAACAACATGCATGTGCATGTTTTTTTATTCTTGCTTTATAGTACCTGCCCAGACGCGTCAAAGTATAGATCCATACTCTTTGGTTCTTTCGGTAAAGTCACGTAGTTACAAATACGTGACTTTACCGAAAGAACCAAAGAGTATGGTTTCCTGCAGTCACGAAAGCTTCAAATCTAGATTAAAGTATAGATCCTAAAGCCAGAGCGAGTAAAGGTTACACTGATGCACTCTTCGTCAATTAATATCGATTCTTCTAGGTCAGGATACATGCGTAGAAAGGTAAGAATGAAGAATGAATGTTTTCCAACTTGTATATAAGTTGTATGTGATGGGCTGATGTCATCACTACAGCCACTGGAGGTGAAATACATCTCTACAATTCAAATAATATCGATTCATTAGTGTAGTGAATTGTTCCACCCTGAAAACGCTGTTTTATAGCAATGAACAATTACTGCTTATATACCCTGGGTTAGCAAAAATGCGTATCATACAATTTGCATTTATTAAACATTTTATCATGACTGCATCTCCAAATTCGGTTCAGAGTGAAGTGACACACACAAGAAGGGGTGCTTTATCAGGCAAAGCCTGAGACTAAATTGGGTTCTCAAGTGCAGTACGTTAATTGGTCTCAGTCCCATCTCCCCTGGCCGCATGAAATCTCACATGGTCAGTATGCACAGATCGCCCCCTTGTCCTCCGCTAGGAGTAGGTAGCCAATCACAATATAAACCCTGCCTGATTTACATCATGCAAAGGTGTATTGTTCTGGATACTATTGCAGCTGCTCAGGCGACAAACTCTTCAAACAAGATTGCTTAAGAAGAGCAAATTAGGCGGTGAGGCAAAGTAACTTGGCGTATCATTGTCAAGATATGAGGAGAGGTTGAACCATTTCTTATTTCAAGGTTACGGATGCTCTCTTCCCGACGGGATGCACTGGTCATGGTATACAACACTGTGATCGGTCTCAACTGACTGTTTCACAATTCCGGACGGGCTTGGTTCTAATTTGCGAGGTGATGCTTGCAAAGCCGTTCAACAGTAATTTGGTGTCTTGTCAATTCACAAGAAAATCCACACAAGGTGTGCATGAGTACGCAGTCGGCCAAAACCGGCAACAAGAAAAAATTAATAACAGACATTTTGTCATCATTTTAGGACTCCCACAGTTTAAAAAAAACAAACATAATAACAATGGCACCATTTCTGTCTATCTGTGCCATAGGAACTAGCGGTTAGGGTCGTTCTGTATTGTCAAGTAATTTTCAGATAACACGCATGCAAAATAAATATAAAACGCTGCTCTCGCAACACTCTTTTATGACTGTAATTCAGCGCCGGTGGCGGCGATGGTATTTGTGTAAACCGGTGCCTGCCGGTGCGTTTGGTTACTTTGGCCTCTGTTGACATCCTGTGGAGATAACGCACACCATGGACTGGGAGGCTGCTGGCACACTGTGCGCTGGGAGGCTGCCCCATGCCGCACGACTTGTGCACGGGCGTCGCACCACCACTGTGAGCGAGGGCACTGCTGCACCACTGCGTTTTTAAGGAAGGACACTTTTTTAATACAATTTTAATTAACCCAACAATTTCTCATCGAATGTGTGCAATACGGCAGTGCTAGTAGTGAACGATGGGCGCATTCTGATGCGCGACTACTTTTTTGTGCAAGCGCAGATTTTTGTTCGGTCACTGATTATTGTCTCCCACCAAAAGAATGTGTGGCGTTGCCTTGCCACGAGATGCCAGGACATTAAAACAAACAATAAATGCCCCTTTCTGATGGCGCTGGAATGGCGCCACAGGGGCCGCCCGCTGTGCCCATTCCGCGGCCTGAAACCCGGAGTCCTGGAGCCAGCTTCAAGCGAGAGAGTGCTTCTGTGTTCCCTCAGCCGCAGAACCAGCCCTTCTCCCTCCCAGCCAAATGAAGCGTACCCTCGAACCCAAGCCGCGCACACTTCCAGGTACATTTTAATAATATTATAACAGCCCAGCCATCTGAACTGGTAATTGCGAGCCAATTTGTCTCTGGGCTCAATGTGAAACGAGTTACGAATGACGGCGGTGCAAAGCGCACACTCACCTCCATCTTCATCGACGACAGCCTCTGCTTGGCTTCCTTCTCCAGGCTCTCTCTCTGTTTCTGCAGCTGAACATCGGCACATGGCTGTGGTTACTATGTGGCAGGTGCGGGCCTCAGTGACCTGGTCGCAGGTCAGAATATTAGTAATGCCCCTATATGTACTAAATATAAAACCTATAAGTCACGCTCCATACACCATATATACACCCTCTCTGTTCACTTTCCATAGATCCTCTATCATATCATATATCAACCACCATGCATACAACCGATTGTTAAAGGCTGCTGTGGGGCTATGCTACATTGTGGGCATCAGAGGACAGTGCAGCAAAATCCATTGTTGCACTGTGCTCATATGCTCCCACCTTGTTAAACAAGTAAACTTGGTTTACGCTCTCTGCCCTCGCCAACCCGCACTTGCCAGAGTGGTGAACTGTGGCCACACAACCTCTAAGACTGCGTACAGGCATCGGGAGGCCCTCATCCAGCAGTGACAAAAGGGCTGCACGTGAACTCGACATAAATCCACGTCGTATTGTGTCGTCGCGGCGTGGGAGTGGTGTGGGAGCGGCGCGGGCGCCAGCGCCGTGGCACCTGTGCGCTGTGGAGCGCCTGCTCCCTCTCCAGCGCTGCCCTCAGTCCATCGCGCTCCTCTTGCAGCTGCACAGGACACAGGGGATGGTAACCACACGTGCGCCACTATCAGGCGTTGGATGGTACATGGTGGGGGGGAGGGGGTGTCTGCACCCTGCTCACTCTCCCAGACGCCCGTACACTGTGAGGCACAGAGAACAACACAGCAAGGTGGGGGGGAAGTAGTGATGGGATTGGGTGGAGGCCAGAAATGTGCAGCATTCATAGGTTTGTAAGATCTTTAGAGTGTTTGGCATTCCGGGTGGACTACCATGCTTACTTGGTACGTAACAAAGCATTGGTTAATTGATTAAAATATATTCCTATGCTCATGATACATGAATCGAATTGTGGATGTGAGAAACAATGATTTATACTTTACGCAAACTTTCTTGGAATCACACTCCACTGTTACTTTACACGAATGGAGTGAACAAAACCACTCAAACGAGACGGCCCAAAGAGACAAAAAAAGCATCATTCTCTTTTTTAATTAATCGACTTAGAATTGTGACAAATCGGCAGGGGTATGAATATTTACCATTTCCCGCTCCTGAATTATTGGGCTTGCCACTGACCCATTTCTCACTAAGACGTTGGCTCAATTTCCATAAACGCTCGGTGATTACCGCAAATGGCATCTTTAGCAAAGCATGCACCCTGCCATAAGTGTATGTTTGTTGAACATCTTTCGCACTGAACGTAGCCAACCGTGCTAATCGGAGGTGCAAAGTAAAGTGGACGTGAAAGACCGTGTGACGTTGTTCGTAATAGGAGGCAAATCTATTCACCACAATTCAAAAATGCACATTAAAAAACCAATATGCAACTAACTGTTACATTTTTTTCCATTTATTCACATGGATATCACCGAAAAAATGACAAAATCAATCGCAGTGTGTTATAAATTGGTTAAACAAAGTATAATGAAGTGAAAATGTTCCACTTACTGTCAAACACTGCCTGTTCATCTTCTCTTTCATTTTAACTATCTCACTTTCTGAAAACACAAACATACACACATATATACACAACAACAACAACCGCCATTCGCCACTGAGTGGCGGTGACGTCACCACGACGCTTGTGCCCGGCCACATATACACACAAATGTGAGAAGACATGCAACAACGGCCGTCACTTGTCTCTAAGTGAAGGTGACGTAATTACAGGAGTTGTGCCAGACTAAGTGCAATTTGACGTCTCGTGAACTGTCAAAGGCTCACAGGCAGGAAGTCACGGGACAGGCCCCGGTGTAATGAGTTAATTATGGTTAACAGAGATCTACACATACACACGCACGCACAAAGACACACACGATGACGATTGGCTACGGCTACCACGGCCGAGATTTGAACCCTTGAGATCCTTCAGCTAAGTCAAGTGACCTTTATCTGGGTCGTCACATCGTGCAGCCACGCGCTGTGTAAGTGTAAACACACAGTGCATAACTTCAGCGCTCTTGACTGCCGGGCTGACGTGCATGGGCAGCACGTGAAGATGAGGGCAGCGTGTTAAGGCGACTAGTCTCACCGAGCTCCGTGCTCTGCTGCTCCTTGGCCAGCAATGCACTGTGAGATGCCTCTACGCGGCTCTGCAGGGCCGACAAGGCCAACTGCAGCGCCATGTTCTCCTCAGCGAGACGTGCGGCCTCTTCAAGATCCGTGGTGTCCACCGGCTAGTAAGGGCAGAGAGGGCGACAGAGGGCGCGAGTAATGGCCGCTTGTTACGGATGGCTTGGTCAGTTCTACGCACACTGCACTGGCCCCTCTACACTAGAGAGCACGTGCCTCTGCATACCACGCGAGTCGGTCCCGCTGCCTGTCCCCTATTACTGTTCTGAAACGGTTTCCAGTTAACTTTTGTGTTCACGTAAGTACCGGTAAAACTTGCTTAGAAAATATGTGTGTGCATTAGCAGAGAGCGGTGGAGTAATAATTAGCGCACTGCGCGAAAAAACTTGGCGATCAGAGTGCAATTCCCAACCATGGCTAACATAACATGCCCTGGGCCTTCACTAGGTCGACTCAGCCTGAAATTGAGTACCTAGTGTGTTGAGTAAACAAGAAGGGCCGGGCGTCGTGCTGACCACGTCACCCCTTCGTACATCATGCAGGCCCTTTATGGGCGCTCGACTAACATCACTTGTTCCCACATTCTCCTCAAGGCTATAGAGGGCAGCAGTGGCCAACTGGCATCCCCTGAGCCGCATGCGGTTCTTTGGTCCACCACACGTGGCTCTATCGAAGGGGAATAACGTAGAACGTGCTACTTTCACAGAAGCAAGAAATAATGATTGTCTCCCGTACTCTTTGGTTCTTGCGGTAAAGTCACGTAGGTAGAAAAATAAAAGAACTGTTGACATAGGAACTCCTATGTCAGCAGTTCTCCTGCTGTATCTGTTCCACCTGATGACGGTCGCTTGTGTTGCGATCGAAACGTCGTCATCTATTATTTTTCTACCCACGTGACTTTACCGAAAGAAACACAGAGTATGGATTCCTGCAGTCACGAAAGCTTCAAATCAAGATTGTCTCCCGTGTTGTGCCAAAAACTGTCAATATATATACTCATATACATTTGGCTCTTAGTCTGTTCCAGGTTGACTCTTCCTGCCATAGGGGGATCTTTGTCGTTGTAAATGAGTGCGTAATGACTACCGGTGTGGGCGAGGGCTGATTTCCCTCTTCCTCCCTCAGAGCCTCCAACTGCAGTGTCAGCCGCTCCACCAGTGCCTCCTGCTCCTCCAGACGCTCCCGCAGCCGCGCCAGCTGCAGCTTCGCGTCCGAGCCAGCCGGGCATCCTCCTTCTGCCTTTCGTTGCCCATGCGAGTCCTGTCAACAGCCAGAGTACCCGTAGCAGCAGCAGCATCAGTCTTTGAGCCTTAATTAACCCAGATCACCCTTATGTATAAGATCACACTTCGTATTGTCTTAACTCGTTGTTGTTTTTTTTACCTTCTGGCACATATATTTGAAAACATTGAAAAATTCACCATGCAGCGCACTCACCATGCAGCGCAATTTTACATATCACAAGAGTTTTTTTTATCTCAATCACTAGGCCCCCAATTGTGACACTTGATAGCGCACGATATGTGCGATAGTGGTGCATATGGAACGCGGGCTGGCGCAGTGCGGTGAGCGCGCTGTATGGTGAGTGTGGTGAGTGCGCTGCACACTTTCTTCACCTTCTGTGCACCATCGCGCTGCACCAGGGCATCCTCCAGCTGCTGTCGGAAACTCCTCCGGGCAGTGTTCAGCCTCTGCAGCGAGACAGACAGGAAGGGAAAATGAGGTGGGGAGCTTGGGGTTAACAATTCACCCGCTAGACCACCCCACAGTGATTCCATGAATTGTCACAATTCGGGGTCATGACTTGATGTACGGCTATGACCAAATCACTCGGAATGCACTCGATCTTGTCAGATCTCAGAAGCTACGCATATTTGAGCCTGGGCAGTGCTTCAGCAGCAGACGGCAGTCCAGAAATATCCATTGCTGCACTGTACTTCTACGCTTACACATCCCAACTTCACCAATTCATGCGATTGGATATAAGAATTGATTGCCACGATCGGGCAAGTAGTCTCCAGTGGCTGCGGGAGTCACGTCCACCAATAACATACTATAGGTGTGAAACAATAAATTGTAGTGATCCAGGCCATGATTCCATTAGGCCAGTGGTTCTCAACGTTTTTTGGCTACGACTGCACCTCCTTGTTGAATTTAGTTTCAACCGAGTAAGCCCCTTGGCCTGACCCAACACGGTTCTGAGAAATAAATGCATGCATAACGAACATCAATATTTTAACCAATTGTCCATTTTGTGAGGTATCCTAACCAACTAATAACTGCAAGCGAATAGAAACGAAAATCTACGGACGCTCTGCACGCGTGACGTAATGTGTTCGTGCTCGCCGGTTACTCTCGGAAACCACATCGTTTACTCTTAATGAGTTTAGAAAGGTCTTTTATATCGTGCCAGGCTACCATATGGATTTACATTTAATTACAGTTATTTTATATTGGCAGATTCATACATGATTATTCATCAATGACTCATGTACGATATAATTTCACGCATTTATAAATCACCTCAGGTACCCCCTGGGGCTTTGCCACGTACCCCGGAGCATCCGCGTACCCCCCCGGTTGAGAACCACTGGCTTAGACAACCAATTGTTTTCCGTCTCAATTTTACTGTCTAGTTTCTATAGTTTCTTGTTGACCTCTCTGGTTTGTACAGTTTTCTCTGTTCTGGAGCCATTCTCTAACACAAGGAAGTCTGCAGTAGAGTGCCTATTGTGAAAGTTCTAAATGGCAAAAGCCTTAATTTCATAACTTGGCGACAAAATGTCAACTGATATATAATTACAAAAACTTAAAAAGAAATACCCTCGAAAACTAAATTCGCAGAAGCACATCCACTTGGAGGGAAAGCAGACGCAACGACAGAAGCAGCTGAAACAGTGGAGCGCAGCAGAATAAACAGATGCAGAAGCAGCAACAGCAGTCTGAGAAATGGAAGCAGACGCCACAGCAGTCAACGTGAACTCTGTGTCACGCCAGTGCGGCGCCACCCCCTCGCCTCCTCGTGCAGCGTCTCCAAATGTCTGAGCTTCTGGTTGAGCGCCGCGTGCAGCTCTGAGGCTTTGTCGCGAATGTTCTCCTCGTACTCGGCCCTCAGTAAGCGCTTCTGCAGCTGCAGCTCCTGCTTCAGCTCACTCAGCCTCTGAGGACGCACCGGCACACAGAGACGGGGAGCATCGAGCGAAACCATCGCTTACCCACGCAGTGGAACGCAAGCCTCTATTAAACTAAACTTTGTATTTTACCAAGGCGCACTGAGCTGTATAGCTCTTTTTCGGAAGTGACCTGGCCCCAAATTATTGCTCAAAAAAGTGACTTATCACGTGGGAATTTATCGCAGCCAAATACTCTGAATGCATGTTGATTCCTAGTGTGGAGGGAAATACCAGAGGACGAAGAGAAAAATCCACATGACCACGGTGAGAACATCTAACCTACAAAAATACAGGTGTCAGAGTCGGGATTGAACCTACTACCTCCTGTATACCAGGCGAGGTAGTTAGCATCTCGCCAACACGGCACCCGATTGAGCAAGCAAGAAAAATAAATCAATGGGTGGAGCCCTGCAAGTTCCAGGTTGGTTCCCTGCTACAACTAATCTTTGCTGTAGGGACAGTGTCATAGCAGAGGCCAGTATCCCCATAATACAAGAATGACTATTGAGTTGTTGAGTTTCCAAAGTGCAACTTATTATTAATAAAAAATTGCAGTCAAAACAATTCACATGTCGATGGAAATGTGTAGGTGGAATGATCAACATCTCCACTTTGGCATGAGGGGCTGGTCCTGCGAGAGTGTGGGGTAGCGGTGCGTTCGCGTAGCGGTTAGCGCACTGCGCTATGCACCCGGCAACTCGGGTTTGATTGCCACTCACGGCCACCATCAGTGACGATTATCCGAACCGGTCCTTGGCCTCCTCTAGGTCGACTCAATCTCAAAATAAGTACCAGGTGCGGTGTGTAAACATCGCCACAGGGGATACAAAGGCGGCCGAGTGTGGTGCTGGCCACCCACCCCCTCGTGTGCGGTGCTGGCCCTCATAGGTGCTCGCTAACAGCACTTTCCGCAGCAGTCTGTTCAAGCTATACGGGGGGGATCTTTGTCTTTTTGAGGAGAATGAGCCTCAAACCTGACTGCAAATGCAAGTGCGGCGCCATCTCCTGAAGCGCCGCTCACATTGCACTCACGGCTTCCCCTCGCTTTCTCGCGTAACATGCAGTGAGAAAGGCTCACCCCGTCAATTCAATTCCTTCCATGAGTATCGGTTTATAATCACAAGCATCATGGCTAAAAATAGTGCTTGTGTTGAGGCTAGGAATCGTATTTGTGTTTGATTAAGGGGGTAGGTCTGGGGCTATGTTAGGAGTCAGAGTTCGGGTTTGTTCAAGGACTATGACTTCGGTTTGGTTTTAGGACACGGATTTAATGTTAGGACCAGAGTTCGGTTATGGCTAGGGCCACGGTTGTTGTTCGGGGTAAGGCTAGGTTTAAAGATAGAACTGAGGCATGGGCTATTGCTCATGGCAGGGTCAAGTTCAGGGTCAGGTTACTTATAAATAGTTGACGTGATGGACACTGCTTGGATTACGATTTTGGTTGTAATTATGGTTTGGTTAAAATTCCTCATCTTTATTGGAAACACTACTGTCATGTGTCACGTTTTCCACACCATTGTCGTCCGCCATGATAAATCCACTGCTAGATCAAGGCCGCTCAAAACTGTTGCCATCTCTCACGTTCTGCGATGTAACGATCCACCTCGCACATGCACACGAGATGATTTCGTCGCTCCATCTCCATGGTGTCTCCTACCCCGATCATGTTCCCTCCTTTGGCTCCTTTTTTTTTATTCTTGACCACCGTCCATCATCCTCTCTAGCAATGGGTTTCTGCCCAAGTCCACGAACTCTTCTTCAGAGTCAATATGATGTCTCTAACTTTGCATATCTTCTTTAGTCCATGTGTTCCCTTATCTGTATCTCCGTGTAGGCATTGTGTTTAAAGTGCGTGTTATTTAACAATGTCACAAATGGACCGTGATAACAACTTCTTCAGACGCAACAATGTATCTTAGAAACAAACAGGGTCCTTTCCCAGAGATGAACTACAATAATTTTTTAAATACCCAACCGCTTAGTCCAATAAAATACAAATAACTACATCACGTCGCTTTAAAACTGCATGAGAAAATGTTTCTGCCGTTAATCATATTTGTAATAGTTCCAAAAGTTAATAATAGGTTGAAAATTATAAAAAATAAGTATTATTATTATCAGCCCTGCACACGAGTTCTCTATCTGCCAATAGTTACAATGATGGCTTTTAAAAGCCCTGCATCAATCGGCGGTTATTAGTGGTGACTCAGTTGTTCTGAGACTCCTCTATTTATAGGCGATGAACGGTGACACCAATCCGAGAGGCAAGGGTATCTCCACATGCTCTCCCTCACAGCTGTGCTCATGCATCACTCACTCTGAGTGCCCCACTGAGCACATTTCTTTGCAAAGAGCTCAGTGGTTCGATTTAGATAAAGCACCTGGAATGCACTTCATCAGACACAATCAAGGCCCAAGGTTAATCACTATAGGCAGATATCAGTGCTTGACTTAGCAGCATAGAGGTTGTGGTTTCTGCATAGAGTCAGCCTGTAACTCAAGGTTTACCAAACGCCACTCCTCGGGGCCCACCATGGTCCACTTTTTCACATTTTCGACCAATCTTGTCCGTTAAAATACAAATTATGCCTTTAGAAATAGCACAGGCCCGATGACCGATGAACATGCGCCACGCGACACCAAGAGCACCCGCAGCGGCGGACACCGAAGAGCTGCGCTCCTCACCAGCGTGAGCGTGCGAACGGTGGCCCGGAGCTCCTGCAGAGTGCAGATGTCGCTCGCCTCCGTCTGCGTTGCCTTGTTCTCTCCAAACAGGTTGAGCTCTAGGAACTCAGCCAGGCAAGGTCTGAGCGGTGGGAGAGAGGGGAGGGAGGGAGAGATGTGTGGAGAGCAGAGACATACAGGCATGGAGCAGAAGGGCTTGTAGTGACTTTCCACCACGCTGGAAGGTTTGATATTAAGTAATTGGGTGAAGCTCTGTTTATGAAAAAAAAAGTTCCCCTGTTAATTTCCATTGGTGGACCTAACCCAATGGAAAAAATATCAACACTCATTTGACAAGGCCCCATCTGTCCATAGGAAAACCACTGATGACTTTCGTTCAGCTTATAAAATGTGGCCCTCAATATCTTCCACTTGAGCAATTTCCCATGCTACGGGTGAGCTCTGTAAATTGAGCAAGGTTGCGTAAATTTCCACGCAATCGCCAAGACGCAAAGGGAAAATACCATGAAGTAGTTATTCCTCAGTGACTGAAAAGATGAAATTGGATTGTTAAGTTAGGACAACTGTGTTCAAGTCACAGTAATCGGCGAGTTGTTGCACATTTTGTACCTGCCTTGTGGCTCTTACACTACTGGGTTGGTGTGAAGGCCATCAGCTTATCAGTCTCTGTGTATCGATGATGCAGTCCTTCAAATACTGGACTGTACTCTACATTTTCCAGTGGTCAAGCTCTGGAAGACCCGAACAAGTAACGACGTGCATTTGCTCACGAAAAAATCTACTTGTTGAATATTTTACGTAATAAGACATTAAATGGCTTGAATAAGCTCAAGCAAGAGCCTGTAACACAATACCAAAGCCATCATACCGAGTCTCTTGGCCCAAGGATTGTGTCCTAGGCTAAACCGCTAATGGCTTTCATGACAACTCAACCTGTTTGGAGAGAATTGCTTTTTGTTTTTAGTGTTGTTGTCCTACCCCCCGCACCTTCGATTAGCACGGTTGACTACGTACGGTGCGAAAGAAGTTCTACGTTTCAAGTTTCATTTATTAGGTGAGCCATGCGGCTCTAGAAACAAAATATGAACAGAGAACATCTCAAAGCGACGACGCGCAACAGAAACATCCTGGATGAAACCAGCAAATCTTCCAGAAAAAACCCACCGCATTACAACGCTGTGTGCAAAAATCCCAGTGTGATGCAAGTCAAACAATAACCATAAGACAATTTAGATGAAAGTTATCAGGCCAACTCCGCACTTCTGCAAGAAACATGGCTTAACCATGTTTTCGAAATCACCAAAATAAAGCTATAAAATACAATGTAACAACAATAATCATAGGAAGTATGATTATTGTTGTTACAATACCTGCAGTCATAATGCAAACAAAAAACACAACTCTGATAATGTGCACTGTCCTTGAAGTTGATTGGTCCACACAGTGCACATTATCAGAGTTGTGTTTTTGGTTTGCATTATGACTGCAGGTATTGTGGTCTATGCAAACATGACTCCTCGTAAAAAGGTGTCAGTTTTGTTGCCAGGTAGAAGGGTAAAAAACCAATTATCATATTGCATCATTGTAAACGTTGCAACGTGACGACAAAAATCTCTGCGATGACGTTTGTCTCAATCCCATTCCGCGTGGGTATGACGTCATCACTCATTACGTAATGTCCACTGCGCATGCGCACGATAGCGGCAGAACACCTCTTTAAGATGGCGGCAGAAGCCTAAGGCGAATAGGCCTTTCGCCGTGAACAGCTGCGGTGAGGGCTATGGGGGGGCGGGGGAGTGGTTTGTTGCGCACTGGTGGCGCCCTGATCGCCATACCTGGCTGTCCCGGCCGTGTGCCAGAGGCCGTGCAGAGCGAGCGCCGCGTCCTGGCGACCCTCACACACGGCGCTCGCACACTGGCCCAGGGCCGAAGCCCCGCGTCGCCTCGTCGCCATGGCAACTGGGTCACGTGCTGAGCCCGGGGGGAGGAGAGGGGTCACGTGGGCACGCTAGGGAAGTCATGGGGGCGGGGCGGGGGGGGAGTCATGGGGGGGGGGGGAGTCATGGGGGCGGGGCGGGGGGGGCGTCATGGGGGCGGGGCGGGGGGGGGAGTCATGGGGGCGGGGCGGGGGGGGTCCACGTGGGGACATCGACAGACAATCTTCGTGGGCAGCTGGTCGGGGTTGCAATGTTGGGGTGGTGGCCGGGTTCTAAATTAAATGCCTTAAGTTGATCAAATAACGAAGCAGACAATTCGCCTCCCCATATCTGTCCCCTTGTCCCCTCCACAGACAAAATATAGACGTATATTTTGCACATCCAATCAGCCACGCGGGCCTTCTGGGAGTGTGTAATGTCAACATTGGGGCAAAATACGCGAAAAACTCTGGACCGGTGCCGACGTTGGTTTTAAAAGTAATGCTGGCGAACTGCCAAACGTGTCCCTCTCTCTTAGATTATTAAGTATGTTTGTCTTTCAGCGCCATGAATGCCAAACTAATTGGACAATTCCACTTAGGTTAATTTATTTCACCTAAGTGGTCTTGCAAGCGAGACCTGGAAAAATACTAGTAATATATATGTCCCATCAGAAATTTAATAAAAACTACTTCGTTCCGTTACCCCATGGGTCTTTTGGACGAATGTCCAGCAACATTCGTTTAAGTAGGAACATTTTGGACTGGTTTCGATTTAATCACGGAACAAGGCCTGTTTAATAAATGTTACAGTACTAAGTTGTGTGTGATGTTATTAAGGTGTGAAACCTATCTGATTCATACCAAATGTATGTCTAATAAAATAATATTAACACCGTTAATTAATAACCAAAGCAACACGACACGTTGGGGTTCCACGGTGGATTTGGAACCTTATTGGAACTTGACAACTGGAAAGAAGGCTGATAAAATACTACATTTCGATTTAAAGCTTTCGTGAATGCAGGGATTCATATTCTTGGTTCTTTCGGTAAAGTCACGTAGAAGGGAAATAATAAAGATGAAACAATAACATTCTTTCGACGTTTCGATTGTAACACAAGCAATCATCATCAGTTGTGAAAACCAAACATTTTCTTGCTGTGATTTTCACACCTGATGATGATTGCTTGTGTTGCAATCGAAACGTCGTGATAATTTAATTGTTTTATTTTTATTAGTTTATTATTTCCCTTCTACGTGACTTTACCGAAAGAACCAAGAATAAAAATACTACATATCTATGTGAATAGGCATGATACAAGCTACACAGCATCGTGTGTACAGAAAGTATCACAGGAATAGCATCGCTCGTGGCCTCCCTGCATGTGGTTATTGTTGGTGGAAACCCCAATCAGAAGTTTTGAGAATTCAAATCCCTGTCGTGTGTTGACTACGCCCATATCTTCTTGCCAGGGTCTGTATAAATAAGAAACTGTTTATATGAAGTCAAGTCAATGGTGGGTGCCTAATGGAAATACTGACCGGCAATGGAAATATGGAATTTCCAACACTGGCTTAGGGCTGCCAACAGCGACGAGTGCCGTTCTATTTGTGCCACGGTGGCTATGAGATGTGAACTACCTCGCCTGGTATTCAAGGAGGTCGTGGGTTCGATACAGACCCTGACGCCTGCTGTGTATGTGTACCAGAGGTGTGGACTCGAGTCATGTGACTTGGACTCGAGTCAGACTCGAGTCATGAATTTGATGACTTCAGACTCGACTTGGACTTGCATAACAATGACTTTGTCCCACCTCTGAGGTGTGGACTCGAGTCATGTGACTTGGACTCGAGTCAGACTCGAGTCATGAATTTGATGACTTCAGACTCGACTTGGACTTGCATAACAATGACTTTGTCCCACCTCTGATGTGGAGTTTGCTTGTGTTTCTCTCTCTCCCTCCGGGGTCGCGTGGATTTTTCTCTGGGTCCTCCGATTTTTCCCATCTACATTTAGAATCAACATCACGCGTTTAGAGTATTTGCCTGCTATAAAATTCCACATGATGATAAGCCACTTCGTTGAGCTATCATTTGTGATAGCCAGATCGTTTCTGCAAAATAGCTATATTTCTCAGTGGGCCTTACCTGGTAAAATAAAAATAGTAAATAGTTTATAGTTAGTTACATGGGGAGTCGGGAAAATGGGAACACGGAAGGTAGAGATTATATACAGGATAAGTACACAGGGGTTCAAGGTTTAAAGGACAACTCCAGGACAATTTTAAGTTAAAGGTTTTTGTGCAGCCGGTCACTGATGCATGTGTATCGAGACAATGCGCTGGGGAGACAAACGAGGAATTGTTTTCTATTTGCTTGATTTGAGAAGGGAAACGTTTTGATCTCTTGCTTTTTACTTTCTTTTGTTTAGATCGTGCATATAAAAAAAACCACAACACGACAGTTTCATGCTTTCACAGATATCGTGGTAAGCTCGCTCCTTCAGACGAGGAAAATGGCAAAGCAGTTTCCACGTAACAAGTCTTTAAGGTCATCTCCCAACATCGCGGGCTATGTTTGACTGTTGATGTTTCTCGGACATGATCCATCCGCAGGGATGAAGACGCTCGCCATAGCAGCAGGACAACACACCAGTTGCTCTGCGTTGCAGATAAGCTGTCTCAACGTCACGTCCTTAAAAAATACGCAATCCTTTAAATACACACACAGAACATTGCATATCCTGAAGCAAAGCACCCTCAAACAATGTGAAGACAAACTCAGTAAGCCATATTTAACGAGGCCAGTCCACATGCACCAAACAGATCCTCCGTTTGTACCGCTCACATTCGCCAATTTTCATTTCAGGACGCTTCTACCTGGAGAGAGCACGAATCACTTGATGTGAACATGGACCAGGAATCGAAACCGGCTCACTGGGATAATTGTGCTAAAAAAAATACACTCAAGAATTGGATGCAACGACTAATTGGTACAAAGACATACTCTTTGTTTTTTTCGGTAAAGTCACGTAGGTAAAAAATCATAATAAATTGAAACATAAATTAAATCACGACGTTTCGGAGGCAACAATTTACGTTGAATTTTTTACCTACGTGACTTTACCGAAAAAAACAAAGAGTATGAAATCCTTGCAGTCACGAAAACTTCAAATCTAGAATGGTACAAAGACACACAAACATGCCACGTTGGAGACCCACCGACACATGTGCTCTTTAGTGTCGTGCAGCGCACACACAGAGAGAGGCTCTGACAAGCGTTGTCTCGTGAACGCGGTGAGTTTAAAGTGTGGATAAAGTTCAGCGATGAGTAATATCAATGGCATTTTAAGTACTGTCCGAGCAGTGGAACGCAGTCGTCACCGTGCTAAACACTGCCTCGCCATCGTTGGGCACGCAGCCCGTCGAGAGGAGGGAATGTAATTGGCAGCCACGGTGGGAGCCATTCTCGCTCCGCTGTTGGACGATTCTTCTCCATTCGTACGGCCGACGTTTTAGGCACAGAGCTACAGCCACAATGTTTTTTTACGTTTGGGGTGGTTTGAGCTGGCCAGGAGTACGTGGAGTGCAAGGCCATAATTATAATTATATTGGGAGGGATGTCCCCCCCCCCCCCAATGTTCAAATATGCTCGAAATGTCCCCCCCAAAATATTGCTATAAAATAGATTTCTGTTTACATGATTGTGGTTATGGTTGTACTTTATTAATCCCTAATCTCTGCCATTACATACAATGAATCAAGAAAAGGTAAAAAAAATTTTAACAAAGCAATGTAAATACAATACACTATTAGACATTATTGTAAAAAATAAATACAAAGTCCATCCTATGTGCTAGTGAATTTTTTTAACATTTTAGGCAGGAAATTTGTTTTAAAATTGATATTTTTTTCTGGGGGGGGACCCCCTGGAACATTTGCCCCCCCCAATGTTGAGTCCATGGCTACAGCCTTGGCGGAGTCTATCGGCTGCGAAGTCTCCTTCGTGTTTGTGCAGATCAGGAAGGGGGGGAGGCATTGCGTCGTTGCACGTTCTCTTGTTCTGGACAACCACAATCGATGGAGGAATCTCTTCCACCACCACCATCCCACAACACATCCCCATTGATCACCATCGCTCGCCAGCAGAGGGGGTGGGAGAGCGTCAACAAAGTTAACGACGCCACTGCGGAACAGCACCGGGCGAGGTGTGGTTCAGGCAGGCAAGAGGGGGCGGTGGTAACATCCCACGTTCTAGAAGCCTTCCCATGTTGTATGTTGTTCATGTAGAGAGTTAAAGGGCGTCCACACACACACAGACAGGAGGACGAGGTGAACGCCGCCTGCACGCCTGTGCCGTTTAAGCCATTTTGCAATGTCGGCGTGTTTATAATTCGCGGATGGCACGCAATTTAGTTTAGTTGTATCTTTTAAACGGCACGGTACTGTTGTATATGTTATTGTGCCATTAATACTTGTGAAGTAAGCGCTTACTGGAGGGAGGGAGGGAGGTAGTGGGTGGTGAAACGTAAACAGACCGAGACAAGTTTGGAAGAGTTCCGCCATCACGTCAGTGGGCCCTCTCTCTCTCTGTATTTTTAACCCGAGCACGTAAGGCGAATATATTTAAACTCTTGCTGCAGCCGTGACGCGAGCCGCTTATTATAATCCCACCGTGTACAGAGAGAGAGAGAGAGGAGATAGAGAGAGAGAGAGCTATGGAGAAGGAGGAGGAGTTGAGCAGGAAGTTTTTTTTCGGGGCAATAAAAGAGACGGGGGACCCACGTCCACCGCCAGAGAACGGCCAAGGGAGTTGTTGTTGTTGTTAAACAACAAAAGTGGGGACCCGGACGCCGATATAAGAGTTTACAACTCGTGTTTTTCTCGACATTCCTTCGGCGAAAGCGGATTAGCCCGAGGGCTAGTGGTTTTGTCGACAGTGTCGGGGGATCAGTGCTCTGAAATTTTGTTTTTGTACCGTGTTTGTACACCGCCAACAGAGAGGAGAGATGCCGGCCCTGTCCACCTACTGCCACGACTCAGTGGCCCCGGAGAGGGCCTCGTTGGTCATCATGCCCAGGAGGACCGCCGCGTACTCCACGCAGCCAGGGCCATCCCGAGAGAGGGTCGTGCCCGTCATGGTGATGGGACGAGCTGGCAGCGTCCACCACCACCACCACCCTGGGTCGACCAGCCCAGCCAGGGACACCATCTCGTTCCTGACCGGCATGAGGTTCGAGCTCAGCCCCAAGTCGCGAATTCATCATCCGGAGGTGACAACCCCCACGTGCGTTGGTTATTGCCCAGACGACGACGACAACGACGATTGTTGGATAAGAACAAGGGCTGAGAAGAAGGAGGAGGATGATGATGAGCAGCAGAGGCAGAGATGCTGCATGGAGAAACCCTGGGGTCGCTTGCACCTCAAGCCCGCCACTGCACACAACGCGCGCTCTGCTGGAGGAGACGTGGGTGGTGGACAACGTGGCGACGAGACGACACGGTCACCCATCCTCCGGAGTGTCCGCACGCCGCCGCCGCCGGTGGTGGTGGTGGAGGCGATCCCCCCCGTGAGCGAAAGGCTTCGGAGTCAGCTGTCGGTGCCGTGCGTCCGCCAGTCGAGCTTGGAGATCGAGCCCCCACAGCCCCAGCCCACGGGGCTGGCCGCTGGCACCACGGATGCCACCACCACCACGGCCACCACCACCACGGATGCCACCACCACCACGGATGCCACCACCACCACGGATGCCACCACCACGGTCCCCACCGCAGTGCTCCACGTGGCCACCGCACCGGGGGGTCATCATCGTGGTGGCAAGCAGCCTGATGCATCATCCGTGACCACGCACCACAAAACTCCAGACACCACCACCACCAGCAAAAGCAGCAGCAGCATCAGCAGCAAGCAGGATGACCACCGCTCAGAAATGGAGAAACAGGACGATTACCTGCGCTCCAGCAGCCGCTACCGATTTCACATCATCCCGGACGGCAACTGCCTGTACCGGGCCGTGTCGAAGGCGGTGTACGGCAGCCAGGACATGCACGCCGAGCTCCGCGAGCAGACGATCCACCACATCGTGGACCACCTGGACGAGTTCGGTGCCCTCATCGAGGGAGACGTGGGCGAATTCATCGTGGCCGCGGCGCAGAACGGCGCGTGGGCCGGCTACCCGGAGCTCACGGCCATGAGCCAGATGCTCGGCGTGGGAGTTCGACTCACCACAGGTGGCAGCGCCAATTGTCCCACCGTGTCGACCATGCTGCACCGATTCGGCAAGGGCAACAATGAGGATGGCCCCACCATCTGGCTCAGCTGGCTCAGCAACGGCCACTACGACGCCGTGTTCGACACGCCGCTGCCAAACGATGAGTACGAACGCTGGTACGAGCGCTACGTGGCACAGCAGCGGGACGACGAGGAGATGGCCAAAGCCATGGCAATGTCTCTCTCCAGACTCTTCAAGGAGCAGAACATCAGGACCCGTTAGCTTGAAAGGTCTCCCTTTTGCCTGGTGGGGTGGGTGGGTGGCTCGTGACCAAAGTTTGAGGATGATCTGAAGTTCCGAACTCGAATGATTTGTATCGGGTGAAATGATTGGAACGTGGAGGAAAGTTTATTATTTACAAGGCAACTTATGAATGGCAATGGCTGGGCTCCCGGCAGACCAGTTCTCCTGGGAAGCTACATGCGCTGATTTTTGGTTGAAGATAGAGAACTTGCTCATGAATCCATCTGCATCACACGTCACCCGAGACTATGAAACCAGAGATTGGAGTGTGTTGCCACCTCGGTCTGGAGCCGAATCATGAGAGGCAGGCACAACGTTGCCTGCGTAGCAAGTGGACATTGTTGGTTTGTGCAGAAGAGATGGCTGGGCCACATGTTTTCAGTGTGCTTTTGGTGTAGGAGGGTGAAGGTTTTTGTTTATGCATGTGTAGTTATCGGACCAACTGTTTCAAACACGCACAGTCAAGCATTTGCAAATATTTTATAAGTAGCATTTTAAAAGCAGTTGTTAAACAAATGTCTACTTTCGCCTTTATTTACACAAATTCTGGTTGCGGATTGCTTGCAGATGTGGAATGTTAACCGGTCACTTTGATAATATTGGTCGGAGTCGGGAACATTTCTAAAATGTAAATGCTGGACACTGTAAGTTATATTACTTTGCTGGGTTAAAGGTTAAGCTTTTATAGAGTACAAAGTTAACTGGATTTACACTGGAAGGCCCTCTGTTTGAGGGTGACAATAGTTAAGATTACAAGTTTTAGTCGAGTTTTCAATTTAATGTTTGGCATTGTGACACGATTTGTCCCTTGTAAAACATTGTGAAAGGTGTCGAATAAGCGCAAATTATTACATGTCGCGATTGAGTTCCAGTCTAGGAATGTTTCACATTGCTGTTTTGTCAACACTGGAAAAATAAACATTTAACTTTGCATAAAAAAAATTGGCTTCGTGTTTTCATGCATGTTGCAACGTCAAGGATATCAAGTGGGAAAATGCATATTACAAACCTTTTTGCCAATGGGTTTCATACATTGACTTAATGAGGGGGCCACAGAGCCGCACTGTAAAACAAAGCTGACTTTTCCTAATGCCATGTTAATGCTCTTAATTTAATGATATGGGCCTCGGGCAGAAACAACTCGAAGGGCTGCTGACCAATAACAGCCAAGAAAAACAAAAGCACCCGAAAGGATTTCTAATTTCTAACTGTAGAGATGCAGTGTTGAAGTCAAATTGTTAACAATTGAATTGTGTTAAAGGGCATTGATAGCAATGGTAATGTCAGCCTGTCATTGTCAACAGCTCCGATTAACATGGTTGGCTACGAACAGTGTGAAATAAGTTCAAAATACATACGAGTAATGGCTGATGAAGCATCGAAGCAGTTAATCAACCATTGTCACCTTGCCCCTTGCTGTGTTCTTAGTTACAGCCCTTTTTCAAATAAAAGCCGTTTTAAAATATTTTCTATCCTCGGAGAGATTTGACCATACAGTATTTTACTATGGACAGTGGGAGATCGTGTTCACCCATCATCGATGTCAGCCACAGCTGGGAAACAAACTGGGGCAACCGGTTTCATAGTGCAGAAAACTAACCACTTCGCCACCACTCCACCCACCGCCTGATTATAATTTAAGCTTAAGTCACTGGCTTTTCAATTGCTCGTGGAATATTCTGGCAGGATCTGGATTTTTTAAATACAGTACATTATCATTCACAGACATGGTCGTTCTTTTCCCCAATTATTTGGGTTTAGTGAAAGTGGTACTCATTGGCAACAATTAACCTGCAATTATTTTCAAGTGTCCACACTACTGTTTGTTACTTTTAAACCAGCATATTACACAAGTACATTCAAATAAAACCACTGCATTAACCTGTCAATATAGTTGGCATAGCTATCTACGGGTCAATATAATTGTGGTCACGTCTTCTTTTAACGATGTTTATCTGCTTTGTTATTCCTGACATTGAGCACACGTCTCATGTGCAAAGTACGCTTGATATATTACCAGGCTCTCAGCTGATTAAACAAAGACCAACTGCTCTTTGAAGGATGTGTTGGCTTAAATCGGATCACAGTATGTTGCCAGAGCGGTCTGGACTGCAGCACTTGATGCATGGAAGACATATAGCAGTGTTCTTCACTAATTTTCAGGGGGGGGCACTTTCACCGATAAGACATCAGTGCGAGGGCTGCCACACCGCCTGCAAGGGGTGTTGTCACATGTTTGTATTGTCGGGGTCCGCACGTCAGGGGCGCACTAAAGGCCACCAGGGTGGCCAATGTGTTTGCGCACAATCGGAGGCATTCCACAGAGTCATACTGAAGCAGGCAACACCCAAATAATGTGTACTTTATTTACAAACCATAATTCTTGGCATTTAGCTGGTCATTGATGGTCTCGAAGCCATGATAAGCACAAGAAATCAGCGTCAATTCTGTCTGCCAGAAATCACAGGAGCCAAAGGCATTGCTTGCAGAGACTATGGTCTCATTGAGGAGCTGTGCATTCGTGATCAGCACATCCCACTTATGACTGAGGGTTTCCTTTCCAATAAGATGCAAACGAGTTGTAGGTCATCTGCCAATTGCAGAAATCTTTCGCTCATTTGTACCACTGCAGAGCAGGGGCTTTCTGCTCAACCATGGTGGTCTCATCCAGCTCTGTCCACGGTTGCAGTTTGGGTCCAGGAATCATTATTGTCTGCAAAAGAGATTGTGAAAATTAGCATCATGGGTATGCCAAAATAACAGCTGCGATGCAACAGTACATGCCATTTACAAGTTTTATTAAGCTATGATGCTAATGTGTGAATGGACTCCCAGTTGTCTAAAGCAGCGGTCCCCAACCTTTTGGGCACCAGGGACCGTTTTCGTGGAAGACAATTTTTTCATGGACTGGAGTGGGGGGGGGTTCAACATTGGGTCTTTCCTCCTTTTCAAAGAAGCTCTCCAGCGACGTTAGTTTTTTACTCATTTTGGCTAGGGGTTAGCTTGTGGGCTTACCAAAACTGTTACTGAGACAAGTTCGCAGTGTGGGAAAGAATCGCGGACGGAAGTGGTAAATAAAACAATGGGCGGGCCAAGCGCGGACTCACCGCTCTCACCTGCTGTGCGGCCCGGTTCCTAACAGGCCACGGACCAGTACCGGGCTGCGGACCGGGGGTTGGGGATCCCTGAGTCTAAAGGACCCAATATGTAATGATGGCAATGACTGACCGAAGCATACTTAATTCCAATAAATAACAAAAACAATTCTAATTGCTGTGGATTGCGCTGTTCAGCTGCAGATTTTTTGCATGTAAAATGTGCAGCTGTGCTGTGAGCACCTTAATGATGGGGTCCTTCTCCTTCGTCCACTGTGGCACGATCTTGCCATGGAGCCTCCAGTTGCCATAAGGGTTGGGCAAGTGCCTCTCGAACACCACATATTCTAGCACGTCCTTGGGCACCTCCTCACTGCCATACATGAGCCGTCCGAAGCGGTCATACAGGGCCATCGTCTGCAGGCCCATGCAGATGAGGCGTCATTCAGGCCATTGTTCGGGCAAAACAAGAGACATAATAGCATTGTGGCAAAGATGGCAAATATGAATGTGACAGCACAATGCGCGGTGCTACAGTGGGAGCCAAGGAGGCGATGCTGAATCCTACAGAGATAATTACTGCCCGTGTGCAATCAATTAATACAACACGGTACACGGGGGATTGTGTGGCCAGCATCACATGCCAAGTCGCCTTCTCTGCTCAGTGCTGGCATTAATAAATATTGAACTTAATAATAAATATTGAACTTTCTGCAAAAACGTAATACAAATTGCCTAGCAACGGCACAGTGGGGGAGGGGGCCGGCCCACGTGCAGAGTTTGGGGGTGAAAAGCTGACCTGCTTGGATAGCAGGCGCACGGTGACCTGCCCGTACAGGTTGCCGGGGTCGATAGTCTTGGGGCACCGCACGTGCACTAGGCGTGGGGGTTCCAGGGACTCCAGGAAGCGCCAGCGCAGCGTCTTCAGCCGGTTCCCTCGCACCATTTCCTGATCGGGAAAGTGTAAGGAAAAACAAAGAATATTAAGTGCATTGATATATGTTGATAAAATATTTATTAAGGGGCTTGTGCTTAATGTGACTTGATATAACGCATTCAAAAGTTAAAGTATCCCTCACGTTGATTATCGACTTCCAATTTGGAAGACCTATTTAACTGGTAGAACATCTTTTTTCCCTATGGCTGGGACCAATTTCTACATTGCACAGCCAAGTTCGCACAGAGTGAAACGACCTTAACAAGGACGTGCTTACTTTACTCAGCTCAGAGGGATGATGGGCTAAATTGACCCTGTCCAGGATTTGGATGTGATTAAAAATGGGATATTGCTGCTCTATCAAGCTCACATTACTGGCTATTAGCAAACATATCTCTTATCATTCATGCATCTGAGTCTATCATATAATAACATTAGTATTTACAATGGTGCATTTGCATATTTCACAGTTTATATAGTTGCAAACTGAAGACCATATCTTAATAATGTTGTTATATAAATCAATTGCAGTGCAACTGCTACAAGAATCAGCTCAAGCTGTGTGCCGAACAAACAGTAATATGTTACGGGTGCTGTGCACAGTGCTTTTCTCACCGGGAAGCATCGCTCTGTTACCAGCTGGTGCAGTCTCACTTTGTTGAAACTGCAAAGCATCGATCGGGCATGACAAGTCACGTTATGACACAAAGCAAGGATAGAGCCGTGAATGCTTGAGCTGGGCTACGGTGCGAGGTGCTGCCACTTACTTCACCAGGCAATCATGTGCTTCCACGTAAATGTCTTGGGCCTTGGTGGGAAACGTTTTAGTGCTAAATCCATCATCGTATTCCTTTACCTTCCGAATCCTGCATATGAGACAAAAACGTATATAGATATGGGGGGTGGCATAGGCATAAGAACATGTTACTTTGAACTATTTGTTGCTATATGTAACTTATTCGGAACAATTAATGGATGTTAATGAGATGGTGAGAAATAGAGACGTGCAAGGAAATACATTGTTTTATTTTAATCTAAGCTCCCAAGCATATGCTCTCTGCCATCACCAACCCGCACTAAATAGTATAAAGTCCAGTTTTAAAAAAACATGATCTCCATGATTATATAGGCCCTCATCCAGCTGTGGATTAACAAAGCGCTGAATACATGTAAACACACACATTAATGAGAGTTTGAATTATTAGGCCGATGTGGGAAGTGAAACATCTATCCGTACAAACTAGCGAAGTAACACGTGTACGCTCCCTTTATGCATCCCCAACCACAACATGGTGAATACATAACACTGGTCAACACACTTTTTCTGGCATAAGGTATTCTAACGGTTATAAGGTAATTTTGGGGTGCTGATTCCAAATCTAGCATCAGTTTTTGTCTATCACATCAGGTTTTTGAGATATCAAATATTGCATTTTCAATAAAAACTGCAGAAGAAAAATATTAAATAAATGTGGATATCTACATAAAATACAGCACCATATTTTAACACTAAAGCAGTCAATGACTCGCAACAACTTGCAATCATAAGTGACAGAGTTAATTTCGGGTAAAATCAATGAAAATGGTGTATGCCGATAGCATAAAAATGATGTGATAGAGCAAATATGAGATCAGATTTGGAATAAGCACCCTGAAATTAGTCTAAAAAAGCTGCAAAAGTCCAGGCCAGAAAAAAATGGGTTTTTTGTTGTTGACCAGTGTTATCAGACTTTACATCAGCTAAACATTCTGTAAAGAAATACACAACCGTGTGCATCTTCTCTGGAGAATTGTGCACTGGCCAATCGAATGCATCATCCTGATGAACTCACGCAAGCTGTGAAGCTGCAGTCTGCCTTATCTGCATGGCACGTTGCTTCAGGCCTTCTGAGCTCATTGACGTCAGTCGGCTGTCTCCCTCCGGAGGGACATAGCCATCAAAGATGCCGGCTGTGGGACATAAAAGGGAATGTTATTTTCATTTGTGCATTAACCCATGTACAATGACTGATACAGTATTTTTTACCCCTGATGAAGCTTCACTCTTGTGTTGGGCAGCTCAGGTCACAGAGTCTTGGTATGGGTCAACAAGACAGGCCCTACTGTGTTTATGACATGCCATCGTTAAAGAACTTTCCACTAAGTTTTTTTTTATCCATCTGGATCTCTCGCAGAACAGTGCAACCCTTCATGTCAGAGAACGTCCTACGGAAACGGATATTACAGAGCTACTACTGAGATCCCTTCGTGTAGCCCCTGTTCAATACATTAGGGGGACAGCACTTTTCCACCCATTCTGCCACCGAGAGTAACGTTCGTCGCACTGCAAGTCGCACTGACAATTTAAATTCTCAAAGCTGCAATTAAGCCGAATTGTGACGGAACCAATTTCCATGTCACGGGGTTTTTTTGTGCAATGATGACAGGGCCAAAACCATGAACTCGCTACCCTTAAAAATCCGGTTTTCGAACCCAGGATACCAGTGGTGCCAACTCAGTTGCTCCGACTCCTGAGCCAGCCAGTAACCTGCAGACCTTTGCACTACCGTGTAACAGCCAGGGCAGCCCTCATAGGTGAAGAGCGTAAGCAGCGCGTGTGGGGCGGCATCCACCTGTGCAGGTGATGTTGATGGGCCTCTCCACATACTGCTGCCGCACCACGACCCCAGCCGCCCGGGCCCGTGCCTCTCTGTCAACATCTTGCTTGTACTTGGCTTTGATGGCTGGCGGAATGAAAAACCTTTTCTTTGTTCTCACTGGGATCACGATGCTTTGGAACGCTGGCTTGATGTCACTCAGAACACCCTGCGAGGTAAAAACGGGACACATCGAGAGCGTGGGGTTTTTTGCTCAAGTACTGTACTAAAAAACGTGCGTTTAATAAGGCTGCTATGAATTCCCACATGAGCCACTTCGCTGAGCTATTATTTGTGGCCAGGTCGCTTCTGAAAAAGAGCTACATAGCTCATTGGGCTGAACCAGGTAAAATGAAAACAACTTAAGTTTATAGTTTATTTTATATTGTAACCACATTATTACACGTGCTCAAACATCCCCTATGACCTTCATCCAGCAGTAGATTAAAAACGAGCTGTACAATAATTCAAGGGGCAAAGCTGGACAGATGGCTGGGTCGAGCAAATGTGTTTACACTTCATCATTAGCCATTGTCTATCTACTGCTGGATGTTGGGCCTCCGCGCATCTTCACCATCCCTGCATTGCCAGAACCCATTTCACTCATTCACATGACCTATAGACTAATTTTTTGTCTTTTACCAGAAGAAACCTGGCTATCACAAATGATAGCACAACGAAGTGGCTTATCATTTGGAAATTTACAGCAGCCAAATACTCTAAACGCATGTTGATTGTAAATGTGGTGGGAAAACCCGAAAGACCCGGAGAAAAATCCACTCTACCACGGAGAAAGAGACACGCGAACTCCAAATACAGCAGCAGGTGCCAGGGTCAGGATCGAACCCACGACCTCCTGTAGGCCAGCCGAGGTAGTTAACATCTCATAGCCACCGTGGCGCCTCAGGACAACGTAGCTGATTAATTTTACGGCTGACGATGAGGCTACAGATAATTATGGAGCTGGTGATGCAGCTTATGATGAATATACTGATGTTGAACATAGATTCGAGATGACCCAAAACCCTCGACCTTGACCACAACTCTGGGAACCCACGCGGCTCGCCGGCCTGGCCGCGGCGACACGGGCAGAGACAGAACGAGCCACCTGCCACCTCCCGCGACTGATGCACAAGAGTGGCGCGCTGCAGATATACAACAACAACAACGAACAACATCATGAGGAGGCCCTTTCCTTGTCAGGGCCGCGACGAGCGTAGGACGAACGGGATAACCGCGGAGCGCGCTCAACGTACGACGGACGTGGGGACGTTCACAACGGCGCCCACACAACCTCTTAAATCGACGCAACTGGGCGATTAAGGGGAGCCGTCGCCGGTAACTTATTTAAGGCGTCTTGAAGCCCGCAAGGGAGCGACTCACGCGTGCCAGCGGTGACAGCCACGCCGCCTGGCTCAACCTGAGCGCCGCCATGATGCTTCCGGCCTACCGGCAAAAGGGGCGGTGCCAGATCCTGGAGGGAAAACCTCTAGCGGGGTGGTGGGTGGTGGTGGGGGGTTGGGGGTGGGTAGGGTGGGTGGTGAGGGTGGGGGGTGGGTGGTGAGGGTGGGGGGTGGGTGGTGGTGGGGGGGGGTTGGGGGTTGGTAGGGTGGGTGGTGGGGTGGGTGGTGGGGTGGGGGTGGGTGGTGAGGGTGGGGGGTGGGTGGTGGTGGGGGGTTGGGGGTGGGTAGGGTGGGTGGTGGGGGGTTGGGGGTGGGTAGGGTGGGTGGTGAGGGGTGGGGGGGTTGGGGGTGGGTAGGGTGGGTGGTGGTGGGGAGTTGGGGGTGGGTAGGGTGGGTGGTGGGAGGTTGGGGGTGGGTAGGGTGGGGGGTTGGGGGTGGGTGGTGGTGGGTGGGTGGGTGGTGGGGGGTGGGGTTTCAGTTTCAATTTTCAGTTTCATATATTTGGTATAGCCCTGTGAGCCATTCGGCTCTTGAATAGGGTGCAACCGCAACATACAAAAAACTAAAACATGAACAAGAAAAACATCTAAAAGTGACTATGCGCAAACAGAAAAATCCAGGAAAAACTGCAAAGTCTTCCAGAAAAAAAGCACCGTACACCAACGCTGTGCAAAAATCCCAGTGGGATGCAAGTCAAACAACAATAACAATCACAAGACAACTTAGATTAAAGCCATCATTCTAACTCCGTACTACAACAAAATAACATGGCCAAACCAAGACACGTCTTCGAAATCACCAAAATAAAGCCATAAGCATTGTAACAGTGATAGGGGTGTGTGTGAGGGGTGGGTGGTGGGTGGGGACAATCTGAATATTTGAGCCACCTGGTAAGCTTTGGGGCCGTCCATAAATGACGTCACGCACCTAGGGGGGGGGGGTCACACATTTGTGACGATGTGTGACGAGGGGGGGGGGGTGAGAAATGTGACGTCACGTAAAATGCGCAACTTTAAATAAATATAGACAACACGTTCTACTTCATTAAATAGACTTTTTAATAAAAAAAATTATCCTACAACATAAGAGTGCAGCGCCACATTAAATACGCACTACAATGACAATAGTTTAAAGCGATTTGAAGCATGTTTTATATTTTTTTTCGGGGGGGGGCAGAGCTTTGTGACGTCATATTTGAGGGGGGGTTTGACTTTTTGTGACGCCGTGTGACTAGGGGGGGGTCAAAAATCGTGGTGGCGGGTTTAACGACACATTTATATAGACGCGACCTAACCCAATAAAACCTCTATTATGGATGATATTGGTCGCGAAAGCCATCTTCGTATTAAACTGACAATTCAAGAACCCACTTGCTGTACTGCCATCTCGTGGCCACCTCAGCCTATCGGGGTTTAGAAACTTCACCAATGCTGTGATCCATCAACCTTCAAAGGACTGAAAAAGTACCTGAAACTCCTGTAATAGGAGACCTGATTAGTATTGTGCGAAAGAAGTTCAACATACATACATTGAGATTTAGCAAGACCCCTAAACAGGCATTTGTGCAGCTATACACTAGTCAGATACAATACACAGACAAGCACACTCATCAGATACACATCGACAGGCAGCGAGAGACACGCAGATAGAGATAAAGGGGGCAGGTAGAGACAGACACAGAGATCGACAGAGACAGACGGATAGACAAGCAGACAGAGACGCAGACAGCTAGACAAATAGACACAGCAGAAACACAGAACAGACGTCTGGCTGGCAGAGTGGAGCGGTGGCTCTGGTTAGCGCACTCCGTTCCTTAATGTTGACACTCCGACTAATGCTCCTGCTGTTGTGGAGTGACTCTTGCAGCCAGCTATGGCTGCAGAGTTTGGTAGTACATGTTGTTTACGTCGTTTATTGTGGAAATTCGGTCACAGTTCCTATGATCACTGTTTCATTGCTTTTATGGCTTTATTTTTGTGATTTTTGAAAAGTTTTTCGGTTTGGCCATGTTTGTTTGTTGTCGTACAGAGTTAGACTGATGGCCTTAATCTAAGTTGTCTTGTGGTTGTTGTTTGACTTGCACCCCACTGGGATTTTTGCACACAGTGTTGGTGTACGGTGCTTTTTCTGCAATATTTTGCTGTCTTTTCTTGGCTTTTCTGTTTGCACTCAGTCACATATTCACTTTAAGATGTTTTTTTTGTTCATGTTTTTGTTTTTTTGTTTGTTGCGGTTGCACCCGATTCAAGAGCCGAATGGCTCACAGGGCAAAACTTAATAAATGAAACTTGAAACTTGCTTTAGGTTCGATTCCCGACCACAGCTAACATTAGTGACGAATATCTGAACCGGTCCTGGGACTCCATTAGGTCAACTCAACCCTTAAATGAGTACCGAACACAGTGTTGTCCTTCCCCCACACCTCCGATAAGGGAACGTCCATAAATGACGTCACGCACCGAGGGGGGGGGGTCAGACATTTGTGACGATGTGTGACGATTGGGGGGGGGGGGGGGTGAGAAATGTGACGTCACATCAAAATGCGCAACTTTAAATAAATCTAGACAACACGTTCTACTTAATTAAATAGACTTTTTAATAAATGTTTTCTCCTACAACATCAGAATGCAGCGGCACATTAAATACGCACTACAATGACAATAGTTTAAAGCGATTTGAAGCATGTTTTATATATTTTTTTTTGGGGGGGGAGAGCTTTGTGACGTCATATTTGAGGGGGGGGGTCTGACTTTTTGTGACGCCGTGTGACGAAGGAGGGGGGGGGGGGTAAAAAATCGTCCAAAATCGCGTGACGTCATTTATGGACGGCCCCAAAGAACGGTTGGCTATGTACTGTGCGACAGAAGTTCAACGTAAATACACACAGACACACACACATAGTAGACATACAACCAGTTAAAGACATAAATGACAGAGGCTCACACACCGGGTAGCATTAATACACATTTATTGGGTATCTCTGTACAGGACAGGGTTTTCATAATTCATTACTGGCCAATCATCCATAACTGGCCACGACTGTGCGCGTCACCGAAACTCGAAAACATGAAGTGCGAGATGACGCGTCCCGTCTTCATCACAGCTCCACGAAGCATCCTCCTTCATCCACCCGGGACGCAGCACAATAAGTTTCACCGCACCTCATTCCAATATAATTCATATATATATACTATAAGTGACATAAATTACATTTTACATGGGCCAAATAAATTACAGCAGTCCGCTTCACGTAATTACACGAACAATCTTGTGGTGCTGTGTCAAGCGGCATTCCACGCACCCCAAGAGAACAGGCAGGCATGTTTATACCCTGTAGCTTCGTCACAGGGCGAGGGAAGTTCAGTGTCGCCCTGCTCAAATGGACGTGGCCCGAACGCTCAACTCCGTCGTCAGCCCTGAGCCGGTGGTGGAAATTCCACATTCATATGGCAGGGGTCAGCTTCCCCCTCGGAGGACCACCACTCTTTAATGTCTCACAAAGTAGTGGGTGTGTGTGTGTGTGTCTTGTTAACCTTGAAAGGGTGACGGGCCAAGTTTGAAAACCCGACCTGGATTTGAACTCGCAACCTTGTGATTGCGAGTGGACGATAAACCGACAAACATTAAATACAGGTACTCGAGTGGCACACTGGTTAACGTGGCTGAATTCCAGGCAGGGTGTGCGCTGCCGTGAACATACATTGGACCACATCAGTTATGAGTTGGTGAAAAGGCAAATTCCTCCGATTTTCTGTGGAGGGGAAAAAGTTCAACATTACAGAAGGCGGCAGCTACTTTGCTATTATTTCTGCGGCACGACTGCTTAAGTTGCCTCTTTTGAGCACATCTGATGCAGAGATGCGAACACACACAGCTGCCTCGGATCAAATTGTATCTCCTGAGATCGCTGTCCTTCGTAACAGAAGTTAGGCATGTAACGAATACTTTATTTATCGATGAAAAATTTAATTCTCAGCTCAAGATACATGCATGGAGTACGAGAATCAATTATTTACGTTGTATGCAAATGCTACCTATAGGCGAACAGAATTAACGAAAAGGAACATACGAGGGAGGAAATATCGAGACGGTACAATTGAGGCAAATAGAGATTCTTGAATCAAATCGTAACTGAATCATTAAAGTTTATCGAATTGCGGGGGGATTCAATCGGTACATGGATGTAATGGCGTTACCACACCGGTGCAGCAAAACAACACACCAGACCTCATAAAAGTTTGACGATGTCGCTGTTGCCCCTTGAGCGAGCTGCAGGGCTCATCCATGAGAAGTTCCACTGGGAATCAGCAGCCGATTTACCATTCGAACGTGTGACGCCACGAGTTCGTAATCTTTTGATGCCACCGTCTGCCGAGAAATGATTCCGGAAATAAATCTAGGAACCGTCCGGCCAAGTCTAAGGCACGAGGAGTCAAATCTCGCCTTTGGAACACGGAGCCAGGGTCATCAGGCTGGGTGCTATCATGTGATGTTTCTTGTTCGGCCGCTCATAACGTTCTTCTTCCGACTGCCTTCAACATCACGAGAAGTGATGTTGACGCACCCCGCAAGATTTTCCTGACCGCGGTTGTGAATCACGGACAAATAAATAATGATTGCGAAAAAAAGTGTTTCATACCGCGCATCACCGGTGTATCGCCAATACATTGACATGCACAACGGGGGAAAAACCCCGACACACTCGGCATAGCCAGCTGTACCACCTCTCTGTTATTCTCAGCTATAATGCTGCAGCATAGAGCCTTCTTCCTACCGTAGGCTTATCTCGCAGCGTTTGAATCTAAATATTACGAAATTAATGCCCACGAGATGACCCTCTCATTTCGATCCCGGAATACAACTCTTGCATGTGTGACAGTGACAGGCGTCACACGCTGCACAGGATCAGCCTCACCCGACAAAGGGGGGGGGGGGGTGAAGGGAGGTCATTGCCCTCTCAGTGTCACTCGTGGTGCCACAACACGCAGATGCTGCATCACGCACCACGCACACCTCGGGGTCGAGAGGACACGCAACGCTTGCCGCGTGGAGGGCGGTTCAGCCACACCGCGGCACGAGCACGGTCCGCGTGCGACACTCTGGCCGGAGCATCTCTCTCCTTCACTCAGTGGCGTAATGCGTACACGCGAAAGTCAAATGTCTCCACAAAGACGGGTTAACGCAACATCGTCCTCGAACAGAAAGTGTAACAACAGCACGAAGTCACGCGCAGTTGGGTTCCCGTGAGCGCCTTCGATCCCCCCACCACCCCCATCCCTGCACGCAGGATGATAATTCATGCATACGCATCATGGGTTACGTGGTAAGGCGGTTCCAACATGCAACCCTGCCCTCGGCCAGTGCCCATTTAGTCGACCACAGCCAAGGCCAAGCGCGCAGGAAGAGCAGCGGCACCCGTGGGCCACGATGAGGCAAAATGCGGGCCTCGAGAATAATTTCCCTACTCTTAGTTCGTTCGGTAAAGTCACGTAGGTAAAAAAATGAAATTAAAATTAATTAAAAATAAAGTAAAAAAATATATACATTTTGATATTTTATTTTTTATTAATTTTATTTTAATTTTTTTACCTACGTGACTTTACCGAAAGAACTAAGAGTATGAATCCTTGCAGTCACGAAAGCTTCAAATCTAGAAATAATTTCCCTGCCAGGGAGACTTGGTTCAGGAGGGCCGGGACACCTCGGCGGGCCCGTTAGCCCTTGCGTCTCCCGAGTTTCGGGGACAATCGTTTGATCAATGTTGGCTGGCTTTCGGTCGGCGAAGTCCCTGCTAGTAACTTAACTTGCCGCAATTGAATCATTTTTATGAGAGTAATTGTCCACCACACCCTCCCCCCCCCGACTCCATTACCTACAGACGTAATGCACAAACGCTTAAATAATAAAGGTGGCGCCTCTCCGCGGGGCCCTTGGACACCGTGGCTCAGATTTCTGCCGAAGGACCCCAACGGAGTGCCTCGCTTCGGATTCACTGCAGTGCAGGGGCACAGCCGGGGAGAATGCAGCGACGGGTGCAGTGTGTGGGTGCCGACACAAAAACAACAATACACACGGCACGTCTTCCAGTGACATGTACACACAGACTCAAACACAGTGTCACACGGCACCTTCTCTCCGTGTGACACGCACGCACACACACACACGTGGATCTCCAGAGTCTCAGACACAATATCACAAAGTATAGTAACGCTCTCATTGTCGCGCACACACACACAAAATAGCGTCGCAGCGTTTCACTGAGTCTCCTTACACAACGCGCCACACATTCTAATTACGCAGTACTGGACATTGTCTAATTTCCACAAGTACGCGCAGTGTTTCAGTCTCGAAGACAACGTGTGAGTGTCACACGGTACGGGTGTCACACACACACACAACAACAACAACTGCCAATAGCCACTAAGTGGCGCTTGTGCCAGGCTACGTGCACGTTGAGGCCACACACACACACAGTGTTTCACAGTCTTAGTGTCAACACACACACACACCAAAGTGCAGTGTCACAGCTCTCCTTCATCTACCTCACCCTCAAATATTAGGACTACAACATAATTTTAAAATACTACTTTCTTTAGCTTTCCGTCATTCATGTTTCTTTATAGACCTTGTATTTTTTTTTCTAAAATAATTAACATAAAGGAACAATTATATAAGTTAGACAGGAGTGACCCTTGCAAGCGTAGATTCACTGCTGCAGGATCACTGTGGAAGAGTTAGTCACGGGCTGACCGGGTAATCCCATCATTAAACGCCAATGAGGTATGTTCTCTACACTCAACGTTCCGCAACTTTTGATCACCTTCAGCTATTGCGATAAAACTCAGGATCGTGAAGTGCAACGGGGCAGCACGGCAGAGATCCCAAGGGTACACGGAGCTGCGGTTGGCATCACTCTGCACAGGAGGTCCCCTAGGAGGTTGAGCGCTATTCTGGATGTGCTGTGCCAGGAGCATACATATATTACTGGTAGGAACCTCCTAGTTACACCAGCCCACAGGGGATTATTGTGTCTGTCGTGCAGGGAGGGGCTGGGTGGGGAGGGAGGAGCTGGGTAGGGGGTGGGAGGGTGGGGAGGCGCTGAGTGGGGGGTGGGAGGGGTGGGGCTGGGTGGGGAGGGGCTGGTCACCCCGTGGTGCCCTTATACAACTCAACGTTTAACCTACTCACGCCGGCTTGTGCCCACCCTCACAGGCGGGCATATTTGCGGAATACACCACGCTGCCGTTGACCCTGGCCACTGACCGAGCAACCCAACGTTCCTACCAGCTCCCTCCGCAGGAATGTGTATATATTTTCCAAGTCATTGAGCTGGACAGACACGACTGAAACAAAGTCCTCGTGGTGGTGGAGTTCAGTGTGGGGCTGCGTGCGGAGCGCAGCCACTGCAATGGATCGTCGTTGCCGCTCGTCTTACACAATGACCATCAATACCAGGGTCGAATGAAAACCGCGGCGAACGCTGTGGAGTTCTGCCGAGGTTCATAATCAAACCCTCCTCGGAGGAGCCCACCACTGCTCCGCACGGCTTTGATCTGCCAAGAAAACCTGCGGCGCTCCATTCACCGCTTCAGAACAGCGACTGGTTTGCTGCGCCCACCTCCCTCCACAAGTGGGAAGTTAAAGGTGACCTTCAGTGTGACTGCAGCTGCCCGAACCAAACAACGGACCGTATTGCGAGCAACTGCAATCGACGCCCGTTTTATGGCAGACTGGACAGTAACTCCCGAAGCTGTCACGAACTTAAACCGGGACTCATAATTTACACATGCAGTACTTGCCAATTGAAAATAGATTTCCAAATGAACACGTGGGGTTTGGCACGTGCACGCCAGCGGAAGGGCATATTCTACACAAGGCTTTTTTTTTGGTTAAATTGGATAATTATAAATGTGTCGTTAAACCCGCGACCACCCGACACAGCCAATTAGTAAGGTTTGGCATGCAAACAAAATATGCCAATCAGTTACTAGTTCAGCACACCGGTGTGTTGGAGAGTAAACCCACAGAATTTACAATTCGACTGCAATGCTTTGCCGGTAATTCCAAGCAGCCTCATCAGGTGACAGCCAGAATTGTGGATAATTCTTCCTGTTTCGGTCTTAAATAGAGGGATAAATGTGATGTCGTCACTGTGAGCTAATCAGGTGCAAAGACTAGAGGGGGATTAATGTCGTCATATACATTACAATGGACATCTATCATTAGCCTCTATGATGGATAAAATTGGTCGCGAAAGCCTACGTGTTAAAAAGGGCATATTCTTCCGATGTACACTTTAAGCCCTTGTGCAAATACACTGCTGGATCAGGGCCTTATTACGCCGTGCAGATCTTGAGATGTTATTTGACCATACATCACCGTGAGGGTTAGTAAAGGCTGCGAGCAGTCGTTGGGGGGGATAGGACAGTACAATAGATCTTGCTGCAATGTCCACTGCAGAGGATGAAGTCTCGTATCTTTTCCCCAATTGAATAAAAAGAAAATCACAATTTTCCAGCACATTTGCCAATTTTTCTCCCAACCAAAATGTGACGCAAAAATGTGTTTCCGCCAACACGAAAATTACCCCCCCAAGTGTTCGTTGATCAATTTATACGCACGCGCGTGTGTAAATTTTTTTGTTTACCGGTGTCCAGTCTCTCGAAAACACCACGGGCCAATGTGAGAGCCACGCTCAGTTTAGGGAGGCAGCGTCACGCTCCTACTTTTCACGCTCCCTCGATCGTTCACGCCGTGCCCGTGGCTATCGAGCTCACTGGCACCCGCGAAGCAAACAACTGGCGCTCGCATCAGCGGACGTCCTGTGATCTTTGTCACCTGGGTGCAGATGACAAAGCCATGATGAGAGAGTGTGTGCGCGAGCGGTGGAGCTTGCGGGGGTTCGAGCGCAGCTCTGTAGTGTTCCACACGACGGAAAAACATGGCCAGAAAAATAAACATCTCTTATGGGAGCCACATTTGTTTTTGCATTAGGCTACACGTGGTGGTAGTTTTGTGGGCAAGATTCTTGTCATGAATCCGGCAACACCCGACAAGATTTCCACGTTTGGCTTCAGAATTTTCACTGCTGAATTTAATATTTTTGTAAACGTGGCAATGTTGTCGGGTGGCTGAGGGTTAATGATAAGAATTTTTGCCTAAATCTACTACGTGGCCTCACTCAAAAACAAATACATATCGGCGACAAAAAAAACACTTTAAGTTATTTTGCATGAATTTTTAATCTTCTTGGTTCTTTCGGTAGTCACGTAGAAGGGAAATAATACGTGACTTTACCGAAAGAACCAAGAAGATGAATCCCTGCATTCACGAAAGCTTTAAATTTAATTTAAAATATTTTTTCTTCATTACCGAAAATTTCAAATTTGTGTTAGATAAACCCGGAACACACAACCTGTGTTGTGTTTTTACAACTATGAGACATTTGTTTTGCATGTCATACAGTTCGCGTTTGGATACATTTCCTCGGACCATAACAAATAAATAGGAATGAGTGTCCGCGTCACTAAACTGTGATGCGTACTCGCTGTCGCAGCCTAGCAAATGAGGGCCGGCGTCTTGATCGACTTCCCTTCCCCTGCACACATGTTACATCATCGTAAAAATTGGAATCGTCAAGCGGAGCCACTCAGTGCAAATTGGTGTGCACGGGAAATGTTCACCGACTCCGTCGACATAAAATACGAACGGCATGATGGGAGCCGAGTGCTTCAGGACAAACAGTGAGCTTGCTGGCGTTGTGCTGCCAATTTGTTAAACAGGACACACACAAGTGGCGGAGACTGAGCTGGCTTGATAATACAGCCCATGGACATGTTGAAGCAGTAAAGGAAACGCTCGTGCATAGGCAGAGTGTACAACTAAGACGGGGCGGATGGCCCCCAGTGGTGTAGCGTGGTTGGCATGGACCCTGGTGCGCTGAATGAAATGGGAGGGGCTGTCCATTTCCCTCGCCCATCTTTGTAGCCCGTGGCCTGGGCCCCTCAGAGCTGTGGGCCCCGGTGTAGGTGAACCACCTGCACACGTGATACGTACATCACTGCGTTGCTCCCTTGAGGAGTTTTTAGTAAAGACGCTGCTGCTCCGAAAATCAGATTACGTAAATTGCAAAACCTGTGGGACAGCAAATTGTCAGCGACCAAGAAGCAGAGCTACGTCATCTTGATGGCGTGCAATGTGGTCTGCAGCGATGCGAGCGTGGGGACGACAAAGGAAAGCATCCTCAAGTGCGAAAACACCGTGCTGCTGACGACTTGCTGAGCTGATGATTCCTTAATGACGTTGGGCCAAGTGCGACGTTGCCAAATGCGACGACAAGTTTACCGGGATAATTTCCAGTTGCAAATTGGCCCCGTCCAACCGTGTATGGGGGTGGGTGGTGAGAAATGGTTGGTGGTGGTGAGCAGTGCGTGCGTGAAGGTGATGGTGATTTTGTAAAACCACAATACAGGGAGCAACGCCGGGAAGCTTTTGGGTTGCGTTGTAAGCGGTTGAAGGGGAATGAGGTTTGGGCGAGAATCGGTGGGAATGTTTGAGCGAGTGGTTGAAAAAAATGGAAGTTTGAACACAAAGTTCGGGAGTCGGCGTCGCATTGCGTGGGAGGCGAGGCTGTGCGCCGATGTTGAGCCATGCTGATGTGAGGTCCCGGGACGTGACGTCCACCTCGGTGGCTGGGAGTCAAGGGGTCACCAACTGAAGACGCGAGCCCTGGCTGTGGCCACGGTGGAGTCGGAGGCCTCGCCCTCCGAGGTGTCTGAGCCCGAGTCACGGAAGGCCAACGCGCTCTGCACGACCACACGCGGCACACATGGAACGCCGCGTCATCCAAAATTATCGGCGCGAGCGGTGCTGACGAACGCCTATCAAGGCTGGCAGGGGGCTGAGGCTAAGTTGACTTAAAGGTGGTCCAAGCATGGCTGCGGCCACGTGCAACACTTCCACGAACCCCCGTTCCGCATCTGCGGCCCCCCCGTTCCGCACCCCCTATCCATAAACCCCGTGCCACGGCCGTGCGCGCACCTGCACGGGGCTGGGCACCGGCGGGTGCATAATCTCGTCGCGCGCCAGCTTGCCCAGCGAGATCTGCGTCTTGACGCGCCGCACGGCCGTCTCCTTGTCGGACAGCCCGTCCGACTGAGTCGAGATCTCGATGGGGACCTCGGGGGACTTGGACGCAAGCCCTCGCCCGCTGCCATCCTCCTCCTCGTCGTCAAACTCATCTTCGTCGTCTTCGTCGTCGCACCGCCGACGATCGCGCCCATCCTCGGTGGCCCCCGTGCCACCACCCGCTCCCCGCGGCGGGGTCAAGGGTCGGGCCGGCTGGGGCACCGGGGCATGAGTGGGCGGGGGCGGCTCCGACTGGTCGCTGGTGTTGCCCTCCTCCAGGTCGTCCGACGCCGACAGGTTCTCGGAGCTGAACGTGGAGTATGACTGGAAGCCGCTGACGCACCGGTGTGGCCTGTTGGTGGTGGGATGGGAGATGGGGGGAGGGACGACTTGGTAATGTTGTCGGTAACTCATCCTGAGGTGTTAGTGCAGCTCAGGGTGTAAAGCATTGTGGGTGAAATTAAATCCGTGCAACTAAATGGGCAATCTATCATCATTGCTTTTCCATGCACTGCAGCCAAATTCTTAACCACTGCCTTCAAGACTGCTGGAAATTAACCATTCGTGGCTGTAATGTAGCATGGCCACTGAGGTGCATTGCTCCCACCTCTGCCTGCGTGGGAAGTCGATTTCGCTGTCCACCTCCCCTTCCTCCTCCTCGGACGAATCCGGTTGGGCCTGTCCACGAAAGCCACGGAACACGACGTCGCATTAGCGTGACACCCACACACATACAGGTACACGCAGGCACCCGCGTCCACCGCCGGACAAAACCCAACAAAAAGAATCAGCCTCGGCAAAGCGACCGCCATTCCCACGCCGATGCCCGAGCGCTGCACCCCGAGCCCTCACCGCGTCGGCGCTCGTGCGCTGTTGCAGCCTGAGATGCTTCCCCGCTACACTTGCTGCGGTGACGTCATGAGGCGCGTCCGCCCTGCTACCGCGACCGGGCAGCATTGCCGCCGCTCCGGAAACTCGCGGCGGCTGGCTCGCCGAACCAACGCCGTGGCCCGCTGCGGCATCGCTCCCGCCGCCACCGCCGGCCTCCGCTCGCCGCGGGTCGCCGTCCGGCCGCGGGGCGCCGTCATCGTCGATCCTCCCGGCGCCGATCCTGGCCGCGCCGACGAGGTCGGGGTCGGCGCAAGGCCGCGGCGGTGCGGGGGCACCACGCGCGCCGTCCTCCGCGAGATCGGCACCGTCGTCTCGACGGTGCCGGGCGGGCGTCCCGTTCGCCGCGCTGTCGGCGTCGGGCCGAGGCAGCGCCACCAGCCAGGAGAAGTCGCCGTGGCTGCCCCGGCTGTTGGTGCGGCGGTGGCGTGCGCGGCCCCGGTAGCGGCCCTTGCCAGGCGGCGTGGACAGCTGCGGCTTGTGGGGCACGGCAGACGCGACGGGGGGCGCGGGCGGCGCGCGAGACGGCACGGGGCTTGATTCCATGCTGCCGGGAATTCCCTCCGAGCGCAGCAGGTCGGGTCTGTCGACGCAGGAGGGCGGGAGCGCTACGCGTCACAGCCCGCGCGCATATGTCGCGGCCCCCGTACGCGCGCACGCAGGTGATGGTGCGCTGCCTGGCTCGCCCACCTGCTGTCACGCCCCGCGTGACCCCACCTGCGTCCGTGCGACGAGGGTTTGTGGGTCGAGGGTTTTTTCTTGATGAGACGCTCAACGGCCGATGGCCGGAGGGCCGGACGAGCCGGGAGCCGCTTGTAAACGCCGGGGTACTTTCTCTCCAGGTCCTGTTCACGCCTGCGTCACGCACATACACATTTCACATCGCCCAGTTATAGAGACTTTTGGGAGTAAGTGGAGTTAAGTGAGCACTCATAAAGATTGGCTCAGCACATGAATGGGTGGTTTGGTCAGCAAGGCACTCTGTAAATATCAGCACGTGGACGCACACAAGTATTCACAAACAAACCAAGGTCCCCCCGATAGCCTTAACAGGCAAGTATTGTTAGCGAGCACCTATGAAGTCCGGAACGGCACATGAGGGGATGGGTGGCCAACACCACGCCTGGCCGCCTTTGTCTCCCTAATGGCGATGTTAACACACCGCATCAGGTACTTATTTGAGGCTGAGTCGACCTAGGGAAGGGCCAGGACCGATTCAGGTGTTGGCCGTGAGCGCGAAAACGAACTCGGGCCGTCGGGTTCGTTTCGCAGCTCGCTAACCACTGCGCCACTACTCTCTACCCACAACTGCTACAGGCACGCAGGTGTGCAGGTGTTCCAATATGCTCATGCCCACCTGAGTAGGTCCTTTTCCCAGGCCTCGAGCTGCACCATGACAGCGCTGAGCTCCAGGTAGAGGTTGTTGGCTCGCTCCAGCTTGCGCTCGTAGTGCTCGCGGATGTCCAGGGCGTGCCTGCATCAGCAGCAACAGCAGCAACAGCAGCGACAGCAAGGCGGTTGGATCACGTGGCGGGGTCAGGGGTGGCGGCGAGCGGGGAGACATCGATGAAGAGAACGTGCAGGACAAACAAGAGGGTGGGTAAACATGAAACCAAATTAGCAAATGCATGCATGTATGGACGATGAACTTATTTCACACCGTACGTAGCCAACCGTGCTAATCGCAATGCACCAAATCTCGTGAGGACCTAAGCAGGGTTGAGCATGGGTAGTGCTTGGATGGGTGACCGCTGTGCATAGCAGGGGTTATAGGGTGCTGCCGGCCTACATCGTCAGCAGAGGGCACTGTGGAAACATTCATTGTTTTACTGCGCGATGCTCCCCACCTTCACCGATCCCCATTGACCAGCGTAGTGAAGTATGGTCAAACAACCCCCCAGGGACTGCACTGTGTAGAGACGCACTCATCCAGCAGCAGATTGACAAAAAGGGCTGCACGTGTACGTGGGTGAAAACGGTATGGAGGGAGTGTAGTGGAGGGGGGGGAGATAGGGAAGAGGGAGGTAGGGGGCGGGGAGGGGAGCGGACCGGAGCTCATGGCGCCGGCGTCGGATGAGCTCGTCGTCGAGGCGCTGGATGCAGGTGCCCTCGCTCTTGATCTTCTCAAAGTGTGCGCGCACCTCCTCCCGCCACTCCGCCTGCGCCCGCGCACGCATCAACGTCACTGCTGCGGCACGCAGGGCGGTGACACGGGCACGGCTGGGGGCGGGCGTGGTGCAGGGCGCCGTGCCGCAGAGCGGCGATTCCCAACCCTCGTGGACGATGCGGTGCATGGGAATCGCAGGGTGCACAAACTGCAATCTGGGTGCACGTGTAGGATGCTCTCGCGAGTGTGGGGAACGGTAGTGTGGCGGTTAGTGCACAGCGCTACGAACCCGGCAACCCAAGTTCGATTCCCGTTCTACGGCTGACAGCAGTGACCATTATCTTAACCGGTCCTGAGCCTCCCTAGCTTGACTCAGCCTCAAGTGAGTAACTGCTGCAGTGTGTAAACATCGCCACTGGGGAGACAAAGGCGGCCAGGCGTGGTGCTGGCCACCTACCCTGTCACGTCCCGTGCCGGCCTTCATAGGTGCTCGCTAACAGCACTTGCCCCAACAGTATGTTAAGGCTATACTGCGGATCTTTGTCTTTGCATGCTGGCCGCACCTGCGACTGGAAGTACGTCTCGTGCGGCGTGGCGAGGACGTCCGCCGCTGCGATGTCCAGGTGTAACAGGATCTGCCGGAACGACGGCCGGTTCCGTGGTTTGCTGTTCCTGTCCGCGTAGGACGCACACAAACATAAATGTACACACGGAGGGGGCAGGGGGTGGGAGAAAGGACGATCGTGCGCGCATTTCCAGGTTGGGATCAGGAGGGAGGGACCCCCTCCTCCCACAGAGCGAAGCTCAAAAACCTCTCACTCGGCGGTCAACGGGCGGTTCACGAAGGTTTGGCAAGGGGGTGGAATGACGAATTTCGGCCGCGTGCAGGCACCAAACGGGTTGCTGCATCCCAGGACAGCGATCTATGACGGCATGCTGGGGGAGGCTTTCATCCAGTCGTGGATAAATCATTGCTGAGAGTAATTTCACGCATATATTTGATTTTTATTGAACAAAACACGTCCCACAACTCCCAAGTCCAGGAGTCAACAGTCACGGAGAAGCGCCCTCACGCGACGGAGCCGTAAATATACCGGTAGTCCCCGACTTACGATGGTCCGACTTACGATATTTCGATCTTACGATGGCGATAGCGATACGACAAAATTGTTAAATATTTTACATTTCGCGCGGCAGGCAAACGCAGCAGCAGCGTGCGAGGTACGATGCTGTACGTTGGGACGCTGCCGGGATGTGCTGTACGCATCTCCCGCCTTGTGTGGTGATGCCTCTCACTCTCACCAGCTGTCTCGGTGTTCAATGCATGTTAAAAAAATTTTATAGCAGATAGGAATGTTTGCTGAAAAAACTTTCTATGAAATTGCAGTTCATATAGGTAGGCTAAGAATTTACCTTATTTCTTTTTACTTCACATTTAATGTGCAATACAGTATTGTAATTAATAAATACATACAGTATATAGTTTATACAGTACGGTACTGTAAATTGCTCGGTTTTGTTAAATTATCACCATTCTTTAAGACTCCTGGCTGGGTAGGCCATCTTCGACTTACGATATTTTCGACTTACGACGATGGGCTCGTCGTAACGCATCTCCATCGTAAGTCGGGGACTACCTGTATACTTAGGGCAGGGGTCGGGAACCTTTTTGACTGGGAGAGCCATAAAAGCCAAATATTTCTAGATATATTTAATTGAGAGCCATATAGTATTTTGAACGTATAATAAATTAAATATGTCTTACTTTTAATGCGACTTCTGGTGCTGCATGGTTTTGCTGATGGCCTTGTAGTCTGATTCATACGTGGTGAGGTTGAGCTTCGTGCAGGCGTGACCCGTGAAATTTATCTTCAAAACTAATTTCTGTTTACTTTAAAATGACACAGTATTATTAAGCAATATCACAAGTATTTTTTTAAATCAGTTCCAAACTGCTTTTTTATTTTTTATTTTTTTATTCTTTTTTCAACTCAAAATTGGCTGGGAGCCATATGCAGTCACCGGAAGAGCCATATATGGCTCGCGAGCCATAGGTTCCCGACCGCTGCTGTAGGGGGTGGGAATTACATTGCATTTTTAAAACCACCACCACCACCGCCTCTTACCAGCACTGCTGCAGCAGCAGGGAGAAACCGTCAGGGCAGGAGGCGGGGACTGGCAGGTGGAGGCTGTTGCTGCCCACGCCCCAGATGATGGCTGACGAGTCGACGTCGCGGTAGGGAACCTCCCCGGTGAGCAGCTCCCACAGCACCACGCCGAACGACCTGCCCGGCGAGGACGCGACGTTATAAAACGTTGAGCTGAAGTTGGAGCTGAGCGATGAATACAAATATTTAAAAAACGCGTACGGTTGCAGTCATCCACAGTCGACATCCCCACACTCAGCGGTGTCCATTCCACATTTCTGTGACAGAGATCATCACAACTTGCTGTTGACATCCCTCAAAGTGGGACTCATCGAACCTGTAAAAGTCGACGACTAAGCGCTGGGTTGGACTGTTTCCCAACGGGATTTGAATTTGCGACCTTCCGATTTGCTGAAACTAAAAATAAACTTATTTTTATTTTATTTTTTGTTATTTTCTTTGAACCTATCTATTTGACTTTACCGAAAGACCCAAAGAATATTAATTCCTGCAGTCACGAAAGCTTTAAGTCAAGATATTTTTTTTTTTTTTACCAGGTAAGGCCCACTGAGCTATGTAGCTCTTTTCAGAAGCGACCTGCCCACAAATGATACCTCAACGAAGTGGTTTTATCGTCATGTGGAAATTTATAGCAGCCAAATACTCTAAACGCGTGTTGATTCTAAATGTGGAGGGGAAAACCAGAGGACCCAGAGAAAATCCACACGACCAAAGGGAGAGAGACATTCACACTTAAAATACACAGCAGGCGCCAGGGTCGGGATCGAACCCACGACCTCCTGTATACCCAGGCGAGGTAGTGAACATCTCATAGCCACTGTGATGATGAAGAGAGAGAGACACGCAGACTTCAAATATACAGCAGGCGTCAGGGTTGGTGATCGAACCCACGATCTCCTGTATACCAGGCGAGGTAGTTAACATCTCCTAGCCACTGTGATGATGAAGAGAGAGAGACACGCAGACTCCAAATATACAGCAGGCGCCAGGGTCGGGATCGAACCCACGACCTCCTGTATACCAGGCGAGGTAGTTAACATCTCACCTGGGGAGAGAGAGACACGCAAACTCCAAATACACAGCAGGCGTCAGGGTTGGTGATCGAACCCACGACCTCCTGTATACCAGGCGAGGTAGTTAACACCTCACCACCGGGGCACCCCTTGCGGGACTACGTGCACTCTGACCACGGGGGGGACTCACCAGATGTCCACCTTCTCGGAGACGGGCTCGTTGCGGATCACCTCCGGCGCCATCCACGCCACCGTGCCGGCAAACGACATCTTGGTGCTTTTGTCACTCATCTCCTTGGACGTCCCGAAGTCGGAGATCTTCACCTTGTCGTCTTGGGTCACCAGCACGCTGGCGCGCAAGGGGAGGGCAAGCGGCACGATGTGTGAGGTCGATGTAACAACGCGGCAGCAACGCAAAGAGAGGGCATAGATTCCCCCACATAGACCTTTTTAACGGACTGTCGGGGCAAGTGCTGTTTGCGAGCACCTATTAAGACTGGAGTGGTACCAGGACCACGCCCGGCCGCCTTTGCGATACCTGTGCTGATGTTTTTATACACTGCACCAGGTCCTTATTTAAGGCTGAGCCGACCTAGGGGAAGCCCGAGACCAGTTTGGATGTCGCCATGGCTGGAAATGGAACTCAGATGCGAGGTTTGCAGCGCAATGCGCAAACCACTGCACCACCGCTCCCTGAGTGCATACACACAGACACGCAAACGAACGCACACACTATGCATATTTTATCAATCAATTCATTGATTCAGATATATTCTGACACTCATGATGCACATACTCCAAATGTTCATGCACACCTATGCATGCACATATCCACAAAACCTCCCATAACGACTTTGGGGCAAGGGCTGTTTGCTACGCCGCATCTAGATCATTCTTCCGACTTGAGCTCCCGACTCCAGATTCAGATACCAAAAGTCACTTGAACCAGTGGCCAGTGGCCCCGTGTCTGATGAGATGAGTATAAAGTATAAATTTGTTTTATGTGAAGGGACATATGGACGTATCGGTGGTACACCGGTGCAGCATAACACACCGGTCCTCATACAAGTCTAAAATCAATTGACCCTGTCGTCAAGGTTTTATTCTGTGTACTGGGACTTGCTACAAAAGCTCAATATTGACCGATGATTTGGGTCCGTGGAATCGAGGAACCGTCCTACCAAGTCTAGGGCACGAGAAGTAAAATCTGCCTTTGGGACACGAGGCCAATCGTCACCAGGCTGGGGGCTACGATACGGCAACACACTTGTGCAAAGCTTCACGTTCAACTGCTCGTATAAACGTTCGTCTTGCGATCGCTTCGACATCACGAGAACCGATTTTGACGCATCCTGCAAGATTTTCTGACCAGGGTTGCGAATCGCAGACAACATTTTTTTATCCAAATTATGTTTTTATTTAGATCTTAAGTTTTCGTGACTGCAATGTTCCATACTCTTTAGTTATTTTTTCGGTAAGGTCACGTAGGTATAAAATAAAATTAAAATAATCTAAAATGAATTGTGTTGCTTCCGAAACGTCGTGATTTTATTTATTTTTGATTATCTAAATGTTGTTTTATACCTACGTGACTTTACCGAAAGACCTAAAGAGTATGTGTTTATTTATTTGTTATACTGCGTACCAATTCTAGATTTGAAGCTTTCGTGACTGCAAGGATTCATATTCTTAGGTTTTTTTTGGTAAAGTCACGTAGGTAAAAATATTTAAATTAATAAAAGTAAAATAAAAATAAAATAAAAATCACGACGTTTCGGAGGCAACACAAGCTTCCGTCTTCAGGTGAAACTGTCACAGCACGATAGCTGTATCAAGTGAGGGAGATACAGCTATCGTGCTGTGACGGTTCCACCTGAAGACGGAAGCTTGTGTTGCCTCCGAAACGTCGTAATTTTTAATTTATTTTTATTTTACTTTTATTAATTTTATTTTTTTACATACGTGACTTTACCGAAAAAAAAACCTAAGAATACTGCGTACCACCGGCATACCGCCAATACGTGGCAGGGAGACGCGTCGTCTCCCACTCAGCTGTTACGATCCTCACTTGGGCGACTTGAGGTCGCGGTGGACGATCTTGTGGGTGTGCAGGTAGTGCATGCCGCTCGCGATCCCGCATGTCCAGTCGACGAGGAGGCGCGGGGACACGAGGCGGCCCACGCGCAGCACCTCAAACAGCTGCCCCTGCGCGCAGTACTCCATGATGATGCAGAAGCACGGTGCCTGAGTGCACACGCCCCTGTGGGGGAAGGGAGGGGGAGCGGAGGGCAACATGGCGGAATTGCGAGAGAGGTTAGAGGTCACCGGGCTGAAGAGTGTGAGCTCTGAGGGTGAGAGTTCAAAGTTCAAGGAGATGAACGGCAAAAAGGTCGGAGGACATGCGTTGTAAAGGTCAACAGATATCGGATTAAAGGGTGAGAGTTCAGAGAGCATGGGGTTGAAGATTTCGAGTTCAGAGGTTATGGGGCACAAAGTCGATGGGTCAGAGGGTACAGGAGGGGGGGGAGGGTCAGGGTTGGGAGAGTCACGAGTCAGAGGGTACGGGAGTGGGGGGAGGGTCACGGGCGGCCCCGGCGTACTTGAAGGCGATGATGTTGGGGTGCTTCAGCTTGCGCAGCGGCTTGATGTCCGTCTCGCGCTGCTCGCGCACCTTCTTGATGGCGACCTCCTCGCCGCGGAACTTGCCCAGGAAGACGGCGCCCTGAGCGCCGCTGCCCAGCCACTGCAGCTCTGCTATCTCCTCGAATGCCACCTCCCACTTGTCTGCGCCGGCCGGCACGGGGGGACAGTCAAAATAACAGGGAGGAAGAAGGGGCGGAGGAGCGATGGCGGTGAGAGGGACCGGCCGAGGCGAACAGGGCGAAGGCAACGGGCTGGTGGGGGGACGAGGGTATGGGGGGGATCCCTCCGCTCACCCTGGAGAACGGAAATCGTGGCATCACTGCTGGGAGTCACAGTCGGGGGTTAAACCGCTCGCCCATTTAACAGCCAAGCACCCAAACAGCCCCAACCAATGAGAGGCGGGGTTAAATAGTCGGAGTTGGAGTTTACCGGTTGAGGTTAGTTTGGCAATAGGTTGTATATTCCGGTTAAAGTTTAGCTTTATAGCGTAGGGTTAAAGATTAATGGATGAGGTTACACATTTTAGATCGCAATCAGTTTGGGGGGTTTTGTAAGGGATGGCCTATCACCTTGCTGCTGGAGCTTGTACTCGGTGGAGTAGGCCTTGCCCAGGATGCTCCACACAGGCCGCAGGCATCCGAGCAGCCCCTCCAGGAAGCTGCCGCCCGTCGACTTGCTGCGCTGCATCTTCCTCCGCATGCCCTCGAGGCTGCTCTCGCCGCCGTCCCCGCGCCCGCCGTTCGGCTGCCCCTCTCCGTACTCCTTCTTGCCTTCATCCTCCGCCTCATCCTCCTCCTCCTCCTCCGCCTCCTCCTGCCCTTCGTCATCGTCGTAAACATCTTCGTCCCTAAGGTCGCTCCGGGGCAGCCGCACCAAGTCGCCACCTCCGGGAACGGAGGTAGCGACTCTCCGCGAAGAAGAAGATGAGGATGTTGACGATGACGAATTGGAAGAGGGCAGCTCCACCGTGGTCGCGTCGCGGAGGCCGGCGTTGCCGCCCTCCCCCACGTTGCCGCCGCCACCGCCCCCTTTGCCGCCAACCTCCGGGCGCCGGCAATCCGTGGGGGGGCGGCCCCGCGCGCCGCCCTCTCCCGCGTCCTCGCCGCCCCCGTCAAGGATGGTGAGCGTGACGAGGCTGTCCCCACCGGCGCCGGCATCGCCGTCGCCCAACGCCACCTCCTGGCGCCGGCACAAGAGCCCGGCGCTCATCGCCCGGCCCGCGGACGCCAGCTCCTCCGGAGATGACGAAAGCAATGCCAATCGGTCTCCATCCACCTCCCGCTGCTGCTGCTGCTGCCGCTGCTGCTTCGTCGCGTCCGGCTCCTTCACGCAGATTTCCGTGAAGCCGCGGTCGTCGCCAGGCTTGCTCGGGGAGACGCCGCGGCGGGGACCCCGGGAACCGTCGGGGGGCCCCAGCGTGCAAGCCACGATGTCGGTCGGAGGGGGGGCAGCCGCCGGGCGCTGGGGGGCCGGCTCGCCCCCCAGCATCACAGGGGGGCCACCGCGGCCGCTCTGCGTGTGCATGGCGACGTGCGGAGAGCGAAGGAGAGCAGAGAGCGGAGGAGAGCGTGGAACTTTGGCCTACCTTTAATGGGGGACAGAGGAGGAGGACGTGGGAGGAAAAAAGACAGAGGGGGAGTGGGGGGGGCAGGCAGGGAGAGAGATAAGGTATGCAGAGAATCGTTGTGTATGTGTAGGGGTGTGTAATTGTGAGACAAAGTGAAAAAGGAGACAGGGAGGAGACAATTCCGATTAGTATTACCATTTGGATGGTCATAAACCTCATAATTTCACTTCATTATCATCTTATGTACAATTGTATACCATTGGAACCTCATTTGCCAGTAAAAAATATAATTGTTTTTTACCCTTCTATCTGGCAACAAAACTGACACCTTTTTTTTTACAAGGAGTCATGTTTGCATAGACCACAATACCTGCAGCCATAATGCAAACAAAAAACATAACTCTGATAATAAAGGACAGTGCATATATCATCAGAGTTATGTTTTTTGTTTGCATTATGGCTGCAGGTATTGTGGTCTATGCAAACATGACTTCTTGTAAAAAAAGGTGTCAGTTTTGTTGCCAGATAGAAGGGTAAAAAAAACAATTATCATACAATTGTATAATTGCTGTAAAGCGCCTCGGAAAAGGAACTTTATAAATCATTCCATCGCTGTGCTCGTTATCTGTCAGTAGTCCATCGAAGTGCATCTGTGGTGCTCATTCCCTCTACAGGATCACCCCCTCGACACCTGTCAACGTCAAGGAGAAGCCCCTGCGTTCACTTTCTTGCCACGAGAAGGCGGTAGGGCCAAGTGTGGACTGGCGCCATCGGTCCATTCTGTACGGGATGGAGTGTTGCCCCCTCGTCCGCGTGATCTGTGTTTTTCCCGAACGTATCAAAACTCATTGGTCGGCTAAAGGCATCTCGAATCGTAAAGAGTTTGGGCAATTGTTGGTAGCGGCGGCTCACCGCCTGACTGCCCTGTGGTTCATCGGCGATTGTTTGATGCAAATTTCATGGACGCCGACGCAATATAAAAGGCAACTTTACATTACGTATAAGTCACGACGTTTCGATCGCAAACACAAGCGGTCGTCCTCAGGCGGAAAAAATCATCCAGCAGTGGAACTGCTGAACCAGCGAGAGAGCTGTTACAACAAGAGGTTATGTATGTTGGCGAAGGGCAAGCAGGCTGGGTCTGAGCTGGAAAGGAATTCCATCTCCGGACGCAAGCACGTCAGTTGTGTTAATGAGGTCGATTAGGCAGAGAGAGATTAGGGAGAGAGATTAGCATGGAATGAGCTTCTGTCGCTGCATAAGAGTATCGTCCCCGCATATATTATGTTTTGTTTTATTTTATTTTTCTACCTACGTGACTTTACCGAAAGAACCAAAGAGTATGGATTGCTGCAGTCACGAAAGATTCAATTCAAGTTTACATAAAATGTTTGAGGATGTACACACACGAGGTGTGTTTTTGTAAATCAAGTGGCCGTGGCCCACGCAATTCACCGGCGCTTACATCACCGCTCGCCGCCGACAATGACCAGGGGGCAGCACTCTGACACCCAACACTCGCCCGTGTTCAGTTCCCATGCATCATTTACACAAGCTCCTGCTGGGGAGCGGTGGTGCAGTGGTTAGCACACATATCCTGCGAATCCCGCAGCCTTCCTGAATGACGGCTAGAAAAAGTCTTGGGCTTTCCATCGGAGAACACCGCATGAAATGATTACCTGGAGCAGTCTAGCTTGGCTCCGGCCACACCAAACCTCTCGTGCGCTTGTGTTGACCTCGGTGGGAGCTTGCTAACAGCACCTCCGATTAGCACCAAGGTAGCCATCCAGTCCATTTATTAATCCAGTGTTGGAGAAAGGCCTTCCTCTGGATGTTTGACCATGATTTATAATGCAGCAGCACCTTGCTGAAAAAGAGCCTTGAGACTCATCGAGGGTGTCCTGGATAACTGAAAGGCTTTTTCTAAATTATTTTTACAGTTCGTCGCTAGGGCTTATTGTGGCGTGGATCTCGGTACAGCTGCGTCCCTCCGCATGTCCTCGGCCCCGGCATCCGTGCAGTCCCACTGGGTGCGGAGTTTTATGACCCCGGCAGATGGAGGCCCTGCGAGCGAGTGGCCGCGGGCGCCGGGTGGCGATGCCGTCGAGTCTCGTTTCCGTTATCAGACCGGTGGGTACAAGGGAGAGTAGATAGAGTGCGATGCTGTTACTGATATGGGGAAACGCCATCTCGCCCAGAGGGGAGATGTTTTGGTTGTGAAAGTATTATCTGCGGAGAAACGCCTCTTTTCAGCGATGACGTAGGAGGGGTATTCTTGCCAGATATTTATTTTGAAGCTGCACTTATCTCTTAACCACACGGATAATCGCCGACAACGGGATGGATTTACACCGCTTCTGCGTGACGCCTCCTAATGTCCACGAATAAATATGAATGATTTGAAGATCATTTTTGCAGAAAATATAACCAATTCTAGGGCACAATCTATATTAGTAAAAAACAACAACTTTATTTTAGGTAAGTTTAGTTATCGCGTTGTCGTTAATATCTTGTCTCCAGCTCTGGTCCTGTCTGCTGTCTCACAGTATAGCGATTGTTTCCTCCAAGAAGCGGTGCAGCAGTGTCAGATGGTTCCCGTGTCACTGACCCCCTGTTCAATAAAAGTGTGGCATGACCCTGACCCGGGTTTGAACATATGTTTTTATGATCAGAGGCCCCCGTTGCTCAGTTGTGCCATCGCAGCCATCACAGCGGAAACGTGAGCTGTGTGCCACCTGGCTGAGAGCAGTGAGCGTTCCAAAACACACGCTCACAACCCACACGCGTGAACACACAGCATGAACCACACACACACAAACCATGATCAACATCACGCAAAACAATCATAAGACATCCACAACGCAAACCAGAACACACAACACAAAATACACAACGCAAACATAATACAAAAGCACACAACATAACTGATAGCACAAACACACAACGCACACAAACCAAACCGGAAAAACACAACATAAAAAAACACGAACACAGCACGTACATGCTCTTACGTATAAGGAAGGTGAACGTTGTAGACTGGTTGATGGGTGGTGGCAGAGACGGTGGTGGTTGAGAGGCGGTGGTGGTGGTGGTGGCAGTGGTCGTGGCGATGTTGGTGGTGGTTGTGGTGGTCATGTGGGTTAGTTTGCTCAATATATTTTACAGACCCAACCCGTGCCTATCCCCACTGCCATTGTCGATTTTATGAGCCCCTTGATTAACCACAAAACCCCAGCCAAACGACGCAGATCACAAACCAGCGTGCGTCACCACCGTCGATTCCACCCCACAAATCTGTTGAGATACTTTTCACCAGATGAAGCAGTGGTTAGCGCACGTCGCTCTGAACCCACGGGCATGAGATTTATTCTCTGCATAGGATAACATAATTGGGGAACAATATGTCCAACTGGTCCTGGGCCCCCCTATCACCAACCAGCATCGAGCAGTGTGGTGAAGTATGGTCAAACAACCTCCATGGCACGGAGGTTGTTTTGTAGAGGCTGACGAAGAGCCACACAATGTGTAGTCTAATCTAGATTTGAAGCTTTCGTGACTGCAGGAATCCATACTCTTTGGTTCTTTCGGTAAAGTCACGTAGGTATAAAATATATAAGAGTATAATGTGTAGCCTATCAACCTGTATTACGGCATGGGCTTGTTTCTACACAGGACGACCACCGTTATTGCCACACAGTTTCATCGACACAGGATGCGTGCGATTGCCCGAATTAAACCACGGCCGGAATTTGAACATTTTCTCGTCCGACGGGGAGTTGGGTGCTCTGACCTCTGCACTGGACACTTGCTGAAAAACAATTCAGCGAGATTTCAACTGGGCGCTGTCCGTTGCGTACCGAGAACAATGCCATGACTGCCGTCTTCGTACCGAAGCGTGTCAGGAAATCGATTCAATGTGAAACAAAACAAGGCACGCAGGCACCAAAGCCACGTCATCAAAGCCCTAATGGGGGAGGAGGATTAGGAGGAGGAGGGCGAGCAAGAGGCACATTCCACTTAAAACGAGCCTTCAAATGAGCAACTGAGACAGCAAACCTCAGGGATTGTGATTAATTTTACCGGTGCAGCCATGAATGTCGTCAGCATTGCACAGAGCAAATAAAATATGTCTCTGCTGTGGAATAAAATGGGGAGAATGGCTCATCCACTCCCTGAAAACGTGGTTCTGACACTGCTGACGAGCTCTGAAGCCAATTATAGGGAGATGAGATGTGTGCAGTTATGGGTGTACGTGTGTGTGGGGAGCGGTTCCATTCCCGCTCACGGCCAACACCAGTGACGATTCTCTAAATCGGTCCTGGACCTCCTCTAGGTCGACTCAGCCTCAAATGAGTACCTGGTGCAGTGTGTAAACATCGCCACTGGGGATACAAAGACGTCTGGGCGTGGTGCTGGCCACCCTTATGTGCCGTCCCGGCCTTAATAGGTGCTCGCTAACAGCACTTGCCCCAACAGTCTGTTAAGGCTATCTTTGTCTTTGTGTGTGTATGCATGTGCGTAGCTGCATGTCTTTTTTATGAACACATCTTCCAATGTATTTGGCTGTGTATGTCGAACAATATGGAAGTGTGTATAACTGCGCTTGTACGTCTACAATTGTGCGGATGTGTGATTTATGTCTCAGCGCATGCATGCGCGTGCGGGGGCGTGCGCATGTGTATACGTGCGTGCACTACCAACCAAAACACCCCGTCACAATGCCCGTCACATTATTGGCATACGAAGGTGGTCCGAGCCTACGCTGGGTCCACTCAGCCTAAAATAATTTGTAAGTGCATTTTTACAGTCAACGTCAGCACATCGGCACCGAGTCCACAAAGGCGCCGAGGCTGTAGCTTACCGCAGTGACGCTCCGCACGCACGCACGCTCGGGGCTGAGCCAGGGATCTCTGTGGCTGCATTTAATGTTCTCTGTGCACACGCTACAACATCGCTCCATGAAGCCCCGTGGCCACAAGGGAATGGCAATCGCATTTACAGGAATATCGAGGACACAG